TTGAGACACTTAAAGTAGTTTATCATGCTTATGTGGAGTCAGTGTTAAGATATGGCATAATTTTATGGGGCCAAGCTACTGGTATTAAAACTTTATTCAGGTTACAAAAACGTATTATTCGTATTATTACCAACTCTCATTCACGCAGTTCTTGTAAGAAACATTTTCAAAATTTAAGAATTCATACATTAACGGGGTTGTATATTCTAGAATTATTAAATTACATACATTCAGTTAAAAATGAGCTACCAGAAACAATACATTTTAATCACAGGTATGAAACCCGAAATGAAAATATATTTAGACTCCCCAGACACCGTTTGACCCTATATGAAAAATCTCCATTGTACGCTGGGCTGAGATTGTACAATGTGCTTCCGCCATGCTATAAGTCATTAAGCAAAACCAAATTTAAAGATACAATAGATAATTTTCTTATTGACAAGGCTTTTTACTTAATTGAAGATTTTTACAGAACTACAATTTAGAATTTTTTTTTTTTTTAGTGTTTAATTTTAAGTTAAAAGTTTTAATGTTAAATATTTTATGTATGAATTTAATTTTGACAATGCACCTATTCTAAATGTTATGACATGTATGGAATGTTTTGTGCAAATAAAGTCTATGTCTATGTCTATGTCTATTGGATAAGGAGAAAATTAAGAAAAATATCAATTTAAATTCCCATGTTATTCTTATGGAGAATATTGTAAAATGTTATAGTTTGCTTAGTTCCGATAAAAAGGTTCTGTCGACTACATAAATACCAAACTTGCTGAATAAAAGTTAGATTTTTATTATGATGAATTTATGAATACTAAAGCGGTGTTTACACTGCCGTATTACCACGTCCATTACAGGCGTGTTCGCCACGCCAATGGACAGCCGTACGCAAATGACGTGGCGCCACGGTACCGTCCCACGGCCACAAGCAGTGTAGTGTTAACAGTTTTCTGGTAGAATCGTATTCATTAAAGGCGTGTTCATTTTTATTTACGGGTGGGTTATGGATTGTGCCAACAGATTAATTGTTGAAGGTTGTGCTGCAGTGATTGTTATTTTAGCTGAAGAAATAGCACGACATTTAAGTGTTATTAAAAGATAGAAACCAAGCTGTAGCTTTCAATATTTATTATTTATATTAAATAAACAAGGTTCACTTTGATGCGGTTCAAGCATTCAAATTGTTTGACCTTCCAATAATTTTAAAGATTGCTTTGTTTTCACCGTTTCAATTGATTCGCTTGTGTCAATGTTATAGATTTTTTTGTTTTCACCATGGTACCGTAAACTAAGACGACAACAACCACAGACATTAAAGAACAATAGTTAAACTCGTAGTACACACGACGAGACGGAAGACGATAACTCCTTACCACGTCCAGCCACGCCTGCAACTGGCGTAGCAACCAAACACGGTTTGGTTAGTCCTAAAGGGCATGGGAAACAGACGTATTGGGTTGCCACGCCTGTTGCTCTCATGGCTCCGCTGTTTACACGAGACGTGGTCACGCTTCTCAAGAAAGTGAGAAAATTTCACAACACGCATGATTTTAGCTGTGCCCCGCGACAATGTAAACAGGCCCGTTTTTTACCCTGTCTGCGCCCTAGGCACAACTAATAGTAGCGCCCCTTTGCAATACATATAACAAGGTGTCCACCGACCGGGAAATCCGGGAATCAAGCGGGATTTTTTGAACCGGGAATTATGTATTTCTACCTGGAGTTTTCAATTTACCGTGATCGCGCATGACGACGTTTCCATGACCGCGGAAAACGATAATATGTCTACACATGGGGGATGATCAGAATTTTCCGCGATAGCAGAAGACGATGATGATATTTACAGTGCCGCAAAGGATGATGAAAATATTGCTTTGATCACGGAAGACGATGATAATGTCCACACAACCGTGGGAAACAGCAAGAATTTTGCCGCGATCACAGAAGACGATGATGATCTCCACACAACTGCGGGATATGATTAACATTTTGCGGGAGATGATTACCATGTATTCACAATCACGGGAGGCGATGTACTGTATTCACAATCGCGGGAGCCAATAACGATGTCTACAGGACAGCGGGAGATACAATAATGATTTCTACACGGCCGCTAGGGATGACCAGTACTATGCCAAGGTGATAATAATGTCCACATGACCGCGGGAAGAAAATTTTTTGCCTCATTCGCGGAAGACGATTATCTTCATATGTCCGCGGGAGATTATTGCCATTTTGCTGCAATCGCGGGAGTCAATTACTATGTCCGAATGACTGCGGGAGACAATAAAATTATCGATGTCTTCACGATTGCAAGGGGTAGTTAGAATTTTATGCGTTCGCGAAAGACGATAAAAATAGCCACTTGATCGCCGGAAAAGGTAAGAATTTTGCTTCATTCCCGGTTGACGATGATAGTCTCCTCACGACCGCGGGATGTGTTCATATTTTGCCTCAATCATGTAAGACAATAATTATGTCTAAACGACCCGACTCCGGTAAATAGTAAGAATCTTACCACATCGTCTGATGTATGCAGTCGCAGCAAAGTATTGAACATTTCTGTAGTCAGGTATATATCATCGTCCTCCGTGATCGCAAAAAAAATGTGGATCCCTCCCGCGGTCATATAGACATCAACATTGTCACCCGCGGTCACGGTAAAATATTGAAAATCTTGTGAATCATCATCGTCTTCTGCAATCGCAGCAAAATCATGGATATCTCCTGCAGTCGTGATAAAATATTGAAAATCCCTCCTGGTCGCGGAGACGATCAGCATCTAAATCTACTACTACTGCTCTTTTAAAATTTTGAGAAACTTTTATTGATGCTGTATCAAAAGCAATTGATGGCATCTCTCATGAAGTTCTTTTAAATAAATTAAAAAAGCTTTTGCTATTTTTTACACTTTTTTAAATTGGTTTAGTTTAGATCTTATCTTTCAGAAAGAATGCAATATGCAAAACTAATGTAAAAAAACCAAAATACCCTAACCGGGTATAGATCAGAAACTTTAAATATTAAACATGGCCTCCCCTAACTATAGCTCTAACTATTTTTCAAGGCTCCACTCTGAGGCCTTTACTATTTCTATGTTATGTCCAAGGAATGCCTTCAATTTTAAACAAATATTTTAGGAACAGAACGTCAGTTAGTACTTTGTGCTGATGATGAAAACTTGGTCAACTGCTAAACCTTACCTTGACCTTGAAACAGTGTGTCAAGAGCAAATAAAAATAATTGAAAATTTAGGATTTTTTTTAAAGGATAGCAGGCTTACCTGAATGGGAAAGAGTCCAAAATGAGTCAGTTTGGACTCTTTCCCATTCAGGTAAGCCTGCTATCCTCTCAAAAAATCCTAAAAACCTAGGCCTTTGTGCTCTATGCTACACCCTTAATTGAAAATTTAGTTTTGCTATTTCTAGCTGGCTAATTTACCAGTTTAATCTTTTTTGGAAATTGCAAAAGAAAATACAAAATATTTCTGCCACATCTTATAGATCAACCATAATGTGTTTAGTTGCACTTCTGCTAGCTAGAACATTTTGTTTTCCTTATAGCCAACTGAGACAACTATTGAGGTAAAGGGGACAACACATTATTGTTAAGTCATAGAGAAGTAAGGTGTAGAGGAAAAATTCAATGGTACACTTGAACGGTGTTTAGCACTAGTGCTGGTGTCTGGGGGAAAATCCATCACCGACCCCATGTACTACAACGCTCACGATGATTCTGATGCTGATAATACCTAGGAGGAAGATTACACTGCGACCTGTAAGATCTATTGTGTCTCCCAAACTAGTCTCCAGTCTTTGCCTAGAGAACCCCTCCAATCCTAACACCTTAATGAAATTTAGCGTCAGGTGGGGTTCTAAATGCGGAAAATTTCCAACTGCTACTTGGTGCATTCCCAAGCTCTTGGTTCTTTTTCACCCAACTGCACCCCATTCAGCCAATAGATGTCTGGGTGTTTCTTCCTCTGATTGACAGAATCAGCAGGCACTTTTTTTTATTTATTTGAAAAATTACAAATTCTTAAGAAAAGGGTATAAATAATTCTGCTGCAAAAACCACGAAAATTGTGCTTATAGAGAAAACTTCTTTCTTCCCAGATGACCTCTGAGCCAGTTAGAAAACCTGTTAACATTCTCAAACAGTTCTTATTCAGGGGTGGGGTACTTTCTTGTGTCCTCCTTTCCCCTTTCTGGGCGCCGGTTTGTTCTAAGAAGCATAGGTACCAGCGGGTTCCTGCCACGCTCTGCCCAACTCTACAGGGATTGTTCTTTTCACCAGGTTTTCCTGGTTTCGGGTAGTTCTTCAAAGGTCGGGGCATTTTACCTCCCTTTCCATGACTTGCGGTACTAGCCCGCGTTCCCACGAGCTTCTCACTAGGGATCTGAAGTCGACCTGGACAGAGCCCCGCATGCCCAGACAAGGCTGCTTACTGCAGGAGGGCGCCTGGTATCCTGCAGGTACCGTTCAGACACCATACAAAAGAGGCCTGGTGCCATCCACCTCTCAGCACGGTCCACCTAATACCTTGGGTTGGCCTATAACAGAAGAAGGAAAAGGAAGGAGCAGAAGTTGGGAGAAGAAGAGAGCAGAGATAGAAAGATGAAGACAGTTGGTCCATGCTAAGGAAAAAAAGAAAACATGGAGTGAAAGGACAGACCCTGCTCAGTTGAAGAGTAGGGAGTCACGCAGGCTGATTGCAATGGCTAGCCACCGGCGATGGGATTGCCAACCACTATGCTTTACAACACTCATGGAGAGTACCTCCTCATGGAGGAGGAAGAACCTGTGCCATGGGAATTTCTGCACATTGCTCTCCGCTCCTGCTTCTCCTTGCTCGTCACAAGTATATTTTTGGCACAACATACCAGAGCTGAAATCGCATGGTCTTTCCATAAGCGTGTTTCCTCTGTACCTTAATAATTCTCTGTGGTTAATTATAAAAATTTCTTCAACTAGATTTAGTAAGAATATGAGTTTACCTCTTTAGATGACAGAGGCTGCTTCTTGGGCACTCCAGCTGTAGGATTCTCCTTGGTGTGACCATCAGGAATTGAGAACAGGATGATAGGTGATGCTCTGCCAGTGTGTACACTAAAAAAAAAAAAAAAACAGTAGACTTCAGCAAAAAACTAACAAACTTGTTAACCAATCAAAATGTTTTTTTCATATGTAATACACAGTTTGTATAAGAGACAACATGATTTCAAGGTGTTATACAATCACATATGTTGTTGCAATCACATATTGTAGCCAGGACTACAAAAATTGAACTTAGATCAAAGTGAAATACAAGATTTGGAACTCAAAGTTTGGCCATCATTAGTAACAATAGTATTTTTATTAAAAGTGTAAATAATTTACATTAAAACTCTTCCTTAATTTTATATAGCATGACTTGAGGGTCATCGATACTAACATTTCTGATCAAAACATAGTTATGTTTGATTACACTTGTTAGATTACCTTGGAGGCTCATAAGGGCTGTCACAAATGAAGAAACCTCGTCTTTGCAGTTGAATGATTTCTGACTTCTTGACATTAGCTAGCTCAGGGTCTCCTAACATGACCACCTCCGTCTGCAAACATTACATTAAAAAAATTATGAGTTTGGTGAGATTTTGCTATCTAGAGCTATATTGTAATGTAAAATTGTTACAATCAATTGCAAACAAGCTAGGCAGAATAAGTCAATTTTATTACAGTTTAATCATTGCCAAAAAATGCAAAAGTTGATATATGTAAAGAGATGAAAAAATAAGTGAAATGTATGGGTTCTGAATAAATGGGGTTGAAAATTACTAGGATAAGCTAATTTATATTAACTAGTAACACTATAAACTAACATGAGCAAGGACGATTTAGTAAAAACCTATAACCATTAAGAATAGCTGAGTACTCTTTAAGAAATCTCAAGTAATTTAAAAAGCTTACTGTCGAAGGAAAACAGAATCATGATTGTTTTTCAATGTGAATCACAAGTAAAGTAACCCAAATAATACTAACATTAATAGAAAAAGTAATGTTTTTTTACTGGCTCTTGTTTGAATCTGTATATTGTAGTTCAGACTATGAATGGTTTGCAAGACCACCTTTGTATGCACTACACATGTACTTCTTTGTCACAACCACCGCTTTGTGCGGATAAATATCACCTCAGATATAAATGGCCCTGGGAGTAAGTAAGTAATTGATCTGGATAACGATCCAAACACAAACCCGAAGTGTTCTCCTCAGATGGAGTTTGCTAAAATCAAATAACACTTTCTAAGTGGAGTCTATCAACTGACCTTGGTGACGTGGCCAATGTACTTCTTGAAGTCTTCATCCCTGGCCAAAACTGGCTTGCTGATGATGTGTTCAAAGTAGACACACACACATGGTGTGAAGGGAGCTTTGGGAGTGTCCGCAAGCCAGGTCAGCTTCAGAGTCTTCTTGTAGTCTTTGTCTGACAGGTTAGGTTCTGCATCTACACTTGTGATCTGGTCTCCTTGTCTGCAATTAACAAATATGTTGAACACATCACTACACAACAGTTTAAAGTAGCTTTGTGAAAACTGAATAAAATGACAAGTTTGTCAATTGGTTAAATACTCGCAATAGCTATAATTAGAAAAATCTTTGCAAGCTAACTTTTTGTCCACAAATTTATGACAATTTTATGAATAAACTACACAATAGTTTCTTGTTGCGTTCCAACCAATAGATCACCTATGTAAAACCAGAATGCAGATGTTATAAAATAAAAAATATTGGTTTAATTTAATTTCCTTGTTTACCACTAATGTCAGAAAGAAGTAAAAGCCATTTGTTTTTTCATACGGATTCAATACATTTAGTTATTAGGACCACCATAAAATTCCTTTGATAAAATAAAGCAAATTACGATAGCTCTAACCTGTTTATTTTCTTGATCTTTAGGTTCCCCCAATTGATGAAGGTTGTATTTTCTCCTTCTTTGAGAGTCTTGGCGTCTTCCACGTCAATGAGTACTCGGGAGCCCACCCACACAGACTTTTCCCCTACGTCAGGGTTCTTGGGATGTTTGGGTACAGAGAGTACCTCCTCTGCCACACCAGGCAGCAACACTGGGACAGTGCCTCGTCCATCCAGGGCTGTGTAGCGAGGGGCCACTGGGTCAATCACCTGACCAACATGAACAATTAGGAAAAACAACTTACAAAAAAAAATTATATTCAAGCGATAACACAAATATTGATAGAAGAAGCGAGAAAAGTGGGTTTACAAATAAATGAAAGTAAAATAAACTACTGTACATGAAAATAAGTAGACAAGATGACGAAGAAGGCCACTTAGAAGTATTAAACTACAGGTTCTAAAAAGCAAACATATTTATATATCTGGGAGTAACAATCACAAACAATAACAGAGAAGATGTTGAAATTAAAAACAGACTCAAGGCAGCAGAAAGATCATATTGGAGCTTAATAGAATTATTTAAAAGCAAACATCTATAAAAAACCACCAAAATAAGAATGTATAAACCCCACATAGTGCCATAGTGGAACCTCCTGTAGTGCTATACGGTTCAGAGATTTGGTCTTTCACAAAAAAATCCTAAAAAAGACTAACTACTTTTAAAAATAAATTAATGAGGAGGATTTTTTGACAAAATAAAAGACAGAGATTGGTGGATGACAATTAAAAAGAGAGATCTGAGGGAATAGTATAGGGAACCAGATATTGTTAGAGTGGTAAAGAGTAGAAGGAGGAGATGGCTACGCCACATTCAATGCAGAGGTGAGAGGGTGCATTATGGTAGAGCAGGTGCTAAGAGGTACTCCGGAGGGCAGGAGAACACTGGGAAGACCAAGGATGCAATGGGTTGACAAGGATACGAAGGACCTAATGGTTGAATGGGAACAGACCTAGAGCTGGCAGAAGACAGAGGATCCTGGAGGCACATGGTTAGCGAGGCCAAAGAACAAGGTTTTCAATGGCCGCAGGAGTAAGAGCAAGAAGCAAGAAGCAAGTAAGAGCAAGTAAGAGTTAGCAAGGCAGGAGATACATTTTTTGAAAACACCAAAGCAAGCAGAAAATACACTTTTTGAAGAGCTGGGGCAGAAGATACACCTTTAGAAGATGACTAGAGATATGATACAGCTTTTAAGACGCTGAGGCTAAGAATAAAGAGATTAAAAACACTGAGGCTCAGAACGCAGAGAACCATAGATTTTAGACAACAATTTTTTTACTATGTAAAAACTAATGGATCATATTATTAGAGAGGCTGCCAACCTCTTAAAAAAATAAAAATAAAAAATAAATACAAATATTGGTTTTAGTTTTAGAAATATCCTTTTTTTAAATCTCATGATCAATTAGACAATTATTTATTAGCAGCGAATTCTTAAAAAAACTTTTTTTAACACAAGGCAAAACCACATACTTTTTTGTTAAAGGCCCAAATTTTGTCCCACTCCATGACAACCACAGAACGAGATGATCCTTGCCCAATGATAAACTGCTTCAGTCCTTCCACAGTCATTCCTCTACGGAGAATGCCTCTCACAGTAGGAAACCTAGGGTCGTCCCTGTGACATACCATAGCATATCCATTACACACCATTGACATATACAACACACACATAAATAAATAAAAAAATTACACATTATAACTTCGTTTATGCTTTAAAGAACTGTAAACAATTGGCAATGCAGCAAAAATGTGTTTACTTTATTTCCTTGACTGAACTTTACCACCAGTTCATCTAGACATCTGGATTTGCTTGGGTTGAAAAAAAAACTGTCCATAGTGATTATAATAGTTTAATGAATTAAAGATTACTAGATCGCTCAGAATACTATAGTTGTCATACAATTAGTTTCTCTAAAAAAAAATTTAATTTTCTACTGTGCGGTAAGAAATGTGATGAAAAATCTTGTTACATTGCAAATGAAAAAGGATAGAAAGAAAATATTGAACAATAATTTTAATGCGTTTTAATCTTTTTTTTTTGTAAACCTCAACTATAAAATTTTTCAGGCCTGCTTATCTATTACTTATTTAATACGCAAGCAGGGTTTTTGTGACAATTACTCCTCCGAAACTACTGAACCGATTGACATGTTTTTGGTGTCATTGGAAAGAGCGTAACGTGAAGCTGTGCAGGAAACTTTTTTTTATAGGGAAATAATTAGAGAGCAAAGCCCTGGGGCCCTTTAAAGTTTCGTATTTCTCCATAAGATTAACATGGGAAACAAACATTGTTATGAAACTCCAGCTGTTGTCAGAAATGCTGTTCTGCTATTTCATTTTATTTGTTTACAAGGAGAATTGTTTCTTGGTGCCATCTGGTCAATGAATTATACTTTTGCATATATTTTAAATGATATACACTATATAAAATAATGGTACTGTAATACATTAAGAGATATTCATTTAAATAATCAATAAGTACGATTGAGCCTTTTCCTATATGTTTCCTGGTAAGTGTGTTGTATCTGTTTCTTATAGTACATTATAGTATCTTAAAGTAAAACCAAACTATTCTTTTCTGCATTCTCATCCCGTAGCGAAGCACGGGCAGAACAACTAGTAAAGTTAAAACTATTATTTCAAGTTCCGATTGTTGCCTATGCCAGTTAACATTGTTCATTTTAACTTCATATCCGAATGGGTTTTTCTTCAATGAGAACTCCTCTTTTCATAGAGAGTAAATAGAATGATAGAATGAACATACGATCTAAAATAGAAAGTTATAATAAACATCTATATCTATACAGGGTGAGTTTCTACTTAGCGTGTTAACTTCGCCAGAAGGTTCTACTCACTAAAAGGAACAAAAAAGGTCCTGTAAACCCATGTCCGGTTTTCAACCGTTTGGCTGTAATAGGGGATTTTGTGTTTTTCTTATTTTATTAGACTTTGCTCCACAATTTATGTAATAAAAACTTAACCAATTACTGTAGAGAGTTATAGTTAAAATCATTGGAAAGAATATTAAATTTGCTATAAATTAAAGGTTTCATTCAACAATTATACCCTTACATAGTCCACGTTATATCCAAAATAAAGTAAAAATGTCATTAAACTAATTAATTACAAAAATGTTCATGAGCCCACTTTGATACATAAACCTGCATTTATGCAATGTTGAAATGCATAAAAAACTTGGTCATTTAATAATCTTTCAAATGATATGCTATTCAATACTATTATTGATATAAACCAGTGAGAAATTACTAATAAACTACAATAAAACACGGTTTACAGATTTTGTTTTTGCACAGTTTTACTGTTGATAATAATTACTGTATACTCCATGTTGTATTTTATTGAACAATCTGATAAGATTTGTACATTATTTTAACTTTTAAATATTTATTAAAATTATCTGAATTAATAAAATGTATAAACTCAAGGTTTTTCACATTTTCAAAGATGTAGTGTGTTTCATTCTTAAATGCTGTATAATTAGTTTTACCTTGTGCTTGATTAAGTCAGCTTTTATTGATTTGTCATCTATAGCTAGATAACTCAGCTGCTTAAACATACCTTGTTGAGTAATTTGCTGTTTTAACTTTATATTTCCAAGTCAATTACGAGTTTTTCAACATTTATTAAACTATGGAGCCTTTTACCAATCAAGAGTATGCCAACATGATGAATACAGTAATTATTATTAACAGTAAAAACTGTGTCAAAACAAAATCTGTAGACCGTGTTTTATTGTAGTTTATTAGTAATTTATCACTGGTTTATATCAATAATAGTATTGAATAGCATATCATTTGAAAGATTATTAAATGACCAAGTTTTTTATGCATTTCAACATTGCATAGATGAAGGTTTATGTAACAAAGTGGGCTCATGAAAATTATCGTAATTAATTAATTTAATGACATTTTTACTTTATTTTGAATATAACGTGGACTATTTAATGGTATAATTCTTGAATGAAACCTTTGATTTATAGCAAATTTAATATTCTTTCCAATGATTTTAACTATAACTCTCTAAAGTAATTGGTTAAGTTTTTATTACATAAATTGTGGAGCAAAGTCTAATAAAATAAGAAAAACACAAAATCCCCTATTACAGCCAAACGGTTAAAAATCGGACATGGGTTTATATGAACTTTTTTGTTCCTTTTAGTGAGTAGAACCTACTGGCGAAGTTAACACGGTCAGTAGAAACTCACCCTGTATATAAATACGCAAAGCCGATTTTTGTAAACAGAACTCCTCCCTCATTTTTAGACTGATTTCGATTTTTAAAGTGTGAAAAAAAGTTGCCCTGATCTGTAGTTTTGCAGTGGTTTTCATTTTTTTGAAATCTTTGTTAGTTTGGGCAGGATCTTTGATCAAAGTTGGGTTATCTCCCATAAGGTCAACGACTACTTACCACCCGTCCACATATCCCTCGTCCACAAACCAGGTGAGTTTGCGCTTGGACAAGACAGTGTTGGTCATGTTGAGTCTTGAGTATTCCCAGATGTGAGGTCGCCGCAGACCCAACGCCTCGATGAACCAATAGAACTGGTCATCTCTGTCATGGTACTCCATGGTACGCAGGCAGTGCGTTACACCTTCGATACTGTCAACTATGGGACAAGCAAAGTCGTACGTCGGGTATACCCTAGGGAACAACAGACAAATACTCTCAATTTGTAGTTTAATGAGTATTTTAAGTTAATTTGAAGAAGTAAAATTAGTACATATAACTTACCTAATTACAAAAAAAAAAAAATATTTCAGTAGGCTAGTAAAATCAAAATTTTAAAATATTTAGGAACAATGTACAATGTATAAGACTAAGATTTTACTGTGAACTAATCTGTTACCTATCTAAAAATTGGGAATGCAAAAAAAACAATTTAAGAATAAATTTAAAACAAAATAATGATAAAACTCATTAGGCCTATTTGATCCCAGAGTATTTGAATAATCCTTTAGTATAATTAAAATATACATTGCTACACTACCGCAGTTTATTCATTCAATTATGTGTATTTATGTAGTACTGTGATGCAACGCCTGCTCAGATATAAGAATATGACTTGTACATTTAAAGATCTTTTTGTGAGCCTAAATAAAACATGAACCTGTATTTCTCATAAGTTATGTGTAAACATCTATCTGGCTCTAATTATACTAAACTAATTTTAATACCTTTAGTAAGTATGCACATGGTTTGAAAGATTTTTGTATAGATAGTGTACAGCTACCCTTTTTGAGAAAATAAAATACTAAGAGCATTTATGGATACATAATATAGTAAGGTTATATTATGACATATCACCTTACTGCCTTTTTTATGTAGGCTATCTGAACTCTGGACTTTAAAACAACCACTCCTTGAACTGCCAACAAACTTTCTAAAACATTACTAATTTCAATGTAATAATTTTAACATCATTTACATTTTGAATATTAGTTCAACGTCAAATGAAGGCCTATCGATGTGGTTCTAACATGAACATGCCTACTTATACAATGACAAGATGCACATACATTTTTTAGCACCAATACAGTGTTTTTCTTTTGAGTTGTCACTTACTTGTACTTGTCTGCAGTTCTTGGGTGAGGTTCATTTTTGCACCTGTAGATGGTCGGGTCTCGCATACAGCCGTTGGCTGAGCCCATGTCAATGCGGGCTCTAACACAACACTTCTGTCCAAAGGCTGAACCTCGCTTCATCTCTTCCCACATCTGAAAGTTCTTCTCCACCGCTGCAAAACAAATACAGACATAAAAAACAGCACTCATAACAGTGCAGCTAGCCTGTTTAAAAATTTGTAGTCCAGAAGCTTTTGGACAGCAAAAAAGTCACAGAACATATATTTCATTATGATGTATCCCGTGTGTATATAGGACTTCATCAGAGAGAATTATAGCCAAACCAAGTGTAAGCTTGCGCTTTGAGATGCAATCTTTCATAAATTTGATTATGAAGTAGAAAAAAGGGAATATAATAATGGTTATTTTTTGGACTTTTACAGTGATCTTACCGGATTTACCAAACTAGGCTGAATATTCCGCGGATTAGGGCCACAAGCAAAGGTTGGCCGCAGCGGTATTGTACATGAGCAATTTTTATTAAATTGAAATTTTATTTGCCAAATTAAAAATGAGCACACAATTGCAGATGATGATGCTGTTAAAGTTATCACAGGAAATGTTCACTATTTCTCCGCAATCGCAATTAACAATAATGTTGTCCCCTTGACTGTGGGGGATGTTCATGATTCTGTTACGTTAGCTGATGACGACGATTATGCCCTCTTGATCCCGGAAGATGTACACGATTTTGCTGCAATGACGAGGAAGTTCCATAGGGGTTGAGGCCACTAAGGTTAATTTGGCCTTGGGCCAAAAGGACTGGGCGTATTTACTCTGGACTGTTTAGATTTTGGAAATTATGAACAACTTATTGCTTACAATGATTCGGCACTGACTTTTTACCCTTTGTCACTATGACAGTAACAGTACTCACAGTTGTCCCAGTTTTTGCTCTTGACTCGCTGCTCCCTCTCTTGTTTCATGAGCTCAGGATCAGTGTCATCCACATAGGCTTTTCCTTCCTTCAGCAGCTTCTCACAATACTGTATCATCAGGTCAAAGTAGCTAGACGTGTGAGTGAACTGATCAGGTTTGATATGCAGCAACTCTAGGTCCTCTAAGATAACCTGCAAAGAAAGTTATTTTTAACCGACTTTCCACTACCAACAAAAGGAGGAGGTTCTCAATTTGTTTGTGGCGATGTTTTTTTTCTTCTATGTATGTTCACCAATTTCTCTGTGATTCTTTTACCGATCAGTGTGGTTCCACCACCAAAATAACCAGGAGAGTTTCTATTTGGTACCTTATATATTATGTTTAAGTATAATATTTGTTTCGGTGAAAAATTCTGAAAACCTTAAATATTCAACATTTATTTTGTTTACATTTGTGCAGATTGTTTACATTTGTGCAGAGAAGGCAATAAATAATGATAACATTCCTACAGCTGTTAGTTGAAACCATTTAAATGAAGCTAGAGACAATTCTTCATGAAGCAGTTGCTTCATATTGATCAATAAACTATTTCTTGCCATGCATTTTGTTTTGGTTACTATAAAAAATGTATTTTAACGTTTGATCTGACTTGTGTATACAGTAATTCTGTTTTTAGTATTGAATATTCTGACTTAAAAAAACATAGGTATATGTTTCAGTGAATAGCTGTATGATATTGACAAATAAAGGTGTATTGTGAAAACCAAAGCATTCGTAAAACAGGTCTAAATATAAATTAAATGCAATTATTCCTTACACGACCTAAGAAGTGTGACAGTGCATAGTCGTCAATTGTCTTAAAAGTGTTAAATATTTTAATTACTAAACATGCATTTGCAGATGTGGAATGTTTATTGATATTCTCTACCCAGTTACTATATCATATCAATACTATTATGCCTGCTTCGGAAAGTCCTAGAGGAAGATGATTTGCAATTTCGACTAGGCTATATCTTGATCAAACAAAACCACCTACATGGCTTGCACCACTTTTAGCTGAACCAATCTTTCATATACATATTTCATTTGCAGATGTGGAATGTTCTCTACCCAGTTACTATAATATATCAATACTATTATGCCCGCTTCGGAAAGTCCTAGAGGAAGATGATTTGCAATTTCGACTAGGCTATATCTTGAGCAAACAAAACCCCCTACATGACTTACACCACTTTTAGCTGAACCAATCTTTCATATAATATTTTCCAAAGGTACTATACGTGTTATCGACCAATTTTCCACTTTTGAGAGATTTTTTAGTGCTGGTAGCTGAGGAATAACTTTCATATTGTTCCAAAAGGCTAAACACGTTACTGTATTTCTTTTTATAATGTAGAAGTACACCGATTGCAGGAAACGATGATGCCTGACATTTCAATGTATCAAGAAAAGACAATTAGTTTTTCATTAGGCCTAATGTAATGGACAACTCTTTCTTTCTTAAGGAATATCTAAAAATGTTTATTTTCATACCCATTGATTATGTAACCTGAACAGGTGACTCAAGCAGTTTTAAAATAATGATTGTTCTATGTGGAACTTTTGATTGTTTAAAAACAGTTTTGCTTATCAAAAAACCTCAAGAAATTAATATATAAAAAATTATACAGTCACTAAAAATCATGAAATAATTTATTTTTGTAAAAAAATACAACCGACTTCAAACGCTCTAAAAAGAATGAAATAATTTCAATAAAGTAAACTTTTGTATTAGGCAAGCTCACGTATTTCAAGTCGGCGCGGCTGAAACTGCAAATGATTGAATTTAAATATTGTGTGTGTATTTTGAAAATCAATAAATTGTAGCTGGATAACATAAATATATAAAAAACATACTGAACTGTTTTGTTTATATATTAAAGGAAATATTTTCTTGTATTTTATGTTTACTTCAGAATAAATGCATTATGAAAATAACACACACAAATGTTCTATATGAATAGGAAAATAATTTAGTTTGATATTATGATAGGGAAAAGAAGCTAGTTTGGTATTAAAACGTTACTTTTCCATGTTAGAAACATTTAAATGCGTTATAATCTTTTTAAAGATGCTCGTTAATACCACTATAATGCCGATCTCTGATTACGGTAATAAAATAACACTTAACGCATAACTATGAAAAAGACATGCAGATTAACAATTTTAGTTATAGTCACCTGCAATATGGACACCCTCTTTCAATTTTGTATCAAAAATCATCATAGAGCCGCGACTTAAAATACGTGAGCTTGTCTAATACAAAAGTTTACTTTATTGAAATTATTTCATTCTTTTTAGAGCGTTTGAAGTCGGTTGTATTTTTTTACAAAAATAAATTATAACTAAACAAGTTAATGTGTCACAGTATACTAGAAAACATAGGATCTAGCAGAAGTAAACACACTCTTTTATGTCATAGTAGTTGCTTGCTAGTTTTGTATTATAACATTTTAAATGAACCCTGTGTCAAATGTAGGTCACAAGTCAGACACAAACAACTTTTAAATTTGGTTCAATTATTAGTTATTTGAGATGGGGACGCCACCTAAGTGTGTATTTTAACCCGAATATGAGTGGAGGATGAGTGTAGAATGAAGTGAGATGATCAGTGAATGTAGTGTTGTTAGTGACTAAGATCAGCTGTTTAGTTATAGTCAGAGAAATATAGGATACTAGCTGGCCCGACAGACGTGGTCCTGTCCTAATGTGGTTTTATGTCAATGCTCGATAATTTTCAAGATGAGCTCGTTCGCATGGCTCAATCACGTCCCGGTTGAAGTTCGTTTGCTACGCTTACTCATCTTTAGGTTAGAGCTCGTTCGCTGTGCTCACTTGCCTTCAGGTTAGCTCGTTCGCTAAGCTAACTCATCTCCAGGTTGAAGTTCGTTCGCTACGCTCACTCACCTTTTGGTTACAAATTAGCTGTAGTCATAAATTTAAAAAAATAATAGTGCTACACCCTGTTGGTAAACCTATTAATTTTTTAATGCTATTGAACATCACAGAATCAAATTTGTTTAGTTGAACTAGCTGTTAAGATTCTTTAATTCCATTTAAATATGAGTACTCATAAGGTTAACATTGGAAACTCCAGAGCCACTGGGGCGGACCCCTTGTGACAGATCTGCACCAAACTTCACACAAACCATCCTTGAATAAAGCTTAATAATGCCTGAAAGTTTCATTACAATCTGTCGAGCGGTTTTGGAGTCCATAAAGGACAAACAAACAAACAAACATACATTGGATTATATAAATAGTATAGATGACCTTAAAAAAATTGCAAGAAAACGTTTTATGGTTTTACTTTGTAGTATTGGGTTTGCAGAATGACATACTAAAAGTTACCAAAAATTGGTGCACGAGAAAACCACTAAAATCACAATTTAAAATGGCGGCTTTTCCCAACATTGGAAAAATCTTGAAAAAATATAGGCTACCAAATGCATTTTGTATGAAGATTTTTTGAGAAACTGACTTGGGAGCACCGCCGATATTTATTGGGTCGTTAGTACTTCATTTTGTTAGGTAACGCGTTTTTGGCCGACATCTTGGATCCGCCATATTGGACGTAGATAATTTTTTTTTTAAGTAATGATGGTGTTGTATTGTAACACTTCATTCCAAACTAAATTTTTACACGGATTTCAATGCCGAAACCCGTTTTTAAATATATCTTTTCATTTAGAAGATATATTGAAACAAAGACTTTCCCCCATACATTTCTTATGGTTCTTTCATAGTTTGATAATTTTTTTAAATTATTTATCTTATATCTCCAGTCCTTATTAAGGCTTGCAGTTCGTTCTTGCCTTAAAATATTCAGTAATGTAAGGGCTTCCATTTGAGCTCTTGATCATTAAAATCAGATGAGTTAAATACCAGCTACGAACCTTTAGAACAATATCAAGTTTAACTATTTAGAAATATATTTTTATTAAAAGATTTATAACTCGGGTTGTTAATACGTCACCAAGTTCTTTCTGGTCTTAAATTACTCTGTAAATGTTTTACTTTAATTTTATTAATCACCAAATAACATCTGAAAATTTTCAAATGAGTCATGAATCTTCATTTAACAGTCAATTATTTCTTTTTAGAAATTTGTCTTTAGTTAAGGACATATATCCCAAACCCTAATAACTCTCAATAAGTAATCCATAGCTAAAATAATAGTAAATAATGTTACGAATTATTTAAGACTATAAAGAAGTTTTGGGAGTGATTTAGAATTGGGGATATACGTCCTTAACTAAACACAAATTAAAAAAATAAATACATTTTAATGTTAAATTAAGATCCATGACTCATTTTAAAATTGTCCGATTTTGTTTAATGATTAATAAAATCAAAGCCAAACATTTACTGAGTAATTTGAGACCAGAAAGAACTTGGTGACATATTAACAACCCGAGTTATAAATCTTTTTAAAATAATATATTTCTAAAAAGTTAAAATTGATATTGTTCTGAGGTTCGTAGCTGATCTTTAACTCGTCTGATTTTGCTCAAGAGCTCAAATGGAAGCCCTTATATTACTGAATATTTTAAAGCTAGAACGAACTGCAACCCTTAATAAGAACTGGAGATATAAGAAAAATAATTTTAAAAAATTACGAAGCGAACGTTACGAATTACGAATTACGTTGAAATTACGAATTACGTAGTTTTATCAAACTACGAAGCGCCCATAAGAAATGTATGGGGGAGAGTTTACTTTTGAACACATATTCTAAACGCAAAAAGATATTTAAAAACAGATTTCGGCATTAAAATCAGTGTAAAAATGTAGTTTGAAATGATGTATCACAACACTATCATTACATTTTAAAAAAATATCTAGATGTCCAATATGGCGGATGAAAATAAAGTACTAACGACCCAATAAGGTTATCTTATAAAAAGATAGGGCATTTGCCAGGAAACGACCCAATCTCTTAAAAACGACCCAATAAATATCGGCGGTGCTCCCAAGTCAGTTTCTCAAAAAATCTTCATACAAAATGCATTTGGTAGCCTATATTTTTTCAAGATTTTTCCAATGTTGGGAAAAGCCGCCATTTTAAATTGTGATTTTAGTGGTTTTCTCGTGCATCGATTTTTGCCAGCTTTTAGTATGTCATTCTGCAAACCCAACACTACAAAGTAAAACCATAAAACTTTTTCTTGCAATTTTTTAAATGGTCCCTGTGTCAGTTTTGTTTAGTTTGCTTTGGACTATTAGGGTTTATTAAAAGCCCAATGATCAGGAACAGATAGGTCTAGGTTCGAACCAACAAAAAGCTACTAACTTTTTCAGGATCAAATTTGGCCAACATATTTTAGATTCAACATTCACAACTATAAAATTTGGCATGTGTAAAATCTACAGAAACTAGCCTAAATATTCTATATCATAGCCTACTTTTCACAATTGAAAAATCAGTAAACAAATCCATGATAGAACTGGGGCATTTTACTTACAAATTATTAACTCACCTTTTCAAAATCAACTTTTTCCTTTGCAGGGTTTGTATCATCAAATCTCATGATCAATTTCCCTTGGAATGCTTCCTGGTAATATTGGTTGAGAAGTGCAGCTTTAGCATGTCCAATGTGCAAATAACTGTGAATGTAATCATGCGTTAATAAATCAGCAGGATGTTAATTTACAACCCTTTTATGGGTTGTCAAATCAACACAAATTAATCATTTATCTGTACCTAACAAAATGGTAGGATAAAATATTACTTCTCATAACCAGTTAAAACCCATTATTTAATTTTTCACCTGAACTGTAACTGAACTTATTCCCCCTACACTGAGTGTGTCTTCCGTAATAGAACTGGTTATAAGAGTTCATGATCAATATTTTTTCTCATTACTTGCATTATCTAAAGAAATATAGGATGTGTCATCAATAAACACTTAAGACTTTTTTTAAAAGTATTTGTTATTGCTTCAATGATTGATTTATGACATAAATAACGTATTCTATTAGGATTGACAATGTTAAGGTACGTAACCTAAATCTTATTGGATTACTACTTTACAAAGATTTTACATTGCCAACTTACCCACTAGCCTCTGGTGGGAATCGTACCACAACCTTCCCCATCTCTGCACCAGGCAGGTCTACAAACTTGCCTTCTTCTTTACTTTTCTTAACTTCCTCGGAACCAGCAGTTTTACTCTGGGCTTTCTTTGTCTTGACATCTTCGGGACGTTCGTTTAAAGCTTGCTGCACACAAGTTTGGCCTTCAATTAAGTTTATCCATCTTGAAATATTTTGTGGATTGTTACCTTTGGATTTTAGAGCTGCCCAATGAGTGCTGTCTGTAAAAATTTGATTACAATTACTGGTGACTAAATTTCCTTCAATTTTTTTTATGAGAACTAATGTTTATGATATTCACATTTAAATATCATCAAGAACAAAATTTGGACCATACCCTAACAGGGATCGTTCAAATATCTGGCGTAGAAACACAAATAACGCACCAAAAATAATTTCAAATCTTGGTTATTTTATGTTAGGTACATTTGCAATGTTGATGTGTCATTACGTTTGTCTTAAAACTTTCTATAAGTTAAAACTGTATTCTAGTGTGTTTATTTAATTTTTTTTATAATAAGACTCACTGTTTAATAGTTATTTTTTCAAAAAAACTAATGGCCACCATTTTGAATTTTTACGTAGGTAGTAAAATTTTGATATTTCTTTTGTAAGCCAGAGAAACTAGTTTTAACTCTAGATGCAAAATTTCAAAGTTTAAAATATCATGGTTATTAAGAAAAAACAATTTTTGAAAAATACAAAACGTCGGCTCTGTGAGTTGTTATTGACCTGCAGACTATTTTAATGTAATTTTTTTAATTTGTTATGAACCTAGATATACCTTAAAAGGTTGGTAGAGAGTTACAAACACCCTTTATAGTATGGAGGAATTTTGTTAAACAGCTTAAGGTTGCATAAAATATCCAGATAGCCAACACAAAATTTGTAATAATAACACTTCTTTATGAAAAGTGAACAAAACTAATTTTATTTTGGAAAGGCTCTACATATCTTACAGCAAACTTACTGTATAAAGTAGACCAGACAAGCAAGTCAGCAATTGTAAGTTTGTTGGCTACAAGGTATGTCACCGGTGCCAATACTTTATCCAGGTATGAGATGGAATCTTTGAATTCTTGAGCACATGAGAGAGGCCCAATACAAAATGACAACCAATGCTCAACCTATAAAATATAAAAACAACATAACGCAAGAAACCAATGTATGACTTAACATTTAATTCCATAGACCACATTTAAAGAATCAGTATAAACAATATTTAGAATGACTTATCAGTGTAATATTGACGAGTATTTAGGTCTTATTTAAATTGTTAGAGCTCACATTAAAATAAACTAACAAGAAAACACACTATTTACAACAGATACGATGCATATTTTATAAAAGTTATTTAAAACCATTGAGGCACCTCAGAAGCAAAATAGACAATTGGTTTAATGTGAGCATGATAGTTTAATTCTAGAACCATTAGTGAACACCTTGCAAGGTAAATTGTGTACAACACTTAAACCAACTCCCAGATACAAATATACAGGGTAGGAAAACCACAGCTCATACTCATAAAAAAAACACTGTTTAATATAGGCTACGTTATTCAAACACAACACTTTGACAGTTTTTAATTATTTTTAAATGCAGACTGACCTTAGATGCAAAATAGCACACTTCACTTTCTCCATAAAACATAAACAGTTTACATGATTTACCATAATGTCAACTCTCAAGTATAAATGTTATGTTTATAAACCCTGAAAGCACAATTTTAATTTTAATTTTAGATTTTTTTTACTGACCTCAATTTCCTCAAAAATGGAAGCACCATAAAGGCCAGCTTCAGGAGTGATTCTGGCCAAATATCTACAAATATCCAAGCTTGATTCCAGGTTTACATATTTCTTCACAGATAATGAACTCTGACTTACACCATTTTCCCATTGAACTTCAATCGTCTTGTTTGCTATCAACTTTAAAATGGCTAATTCACCTATTGACAAGAAATCAAACAAAACATATTTAAATAAACACAGTTGCAGACAAATATGCTGTTAAAATCTCTTGTTAAACCTCTTGAAATAAGACCATACTCATACAGTATAGGCCTACCCCCTCTTAACCGACCCTGGCGGGACCGGAAATAGGTCGGATAACTGAAAAGGTTGTTGAAATACAGCAATCCCAAAAAACTTTAAAAAATTAAACGTGCTATTCATTTGGAATTATATAACCAGTACTCGACTTTGGCTCGCTGGGGGCTCCTTATTTGAGAACCTTTAATCTGTAATATTAAATATTGATGCTTTCCAAATCTATCTTAATACAGAACTTATTGCCAAAATAAAAGATACGGAAAGTACATAAAAGAATCGTCTTAAACACTTAAAACATATATTTATGATTATACTGTTACTCACAAGACGGTAAATAAATATACATAAAAGATGGTAAGTGGTGATCGATTTCAATTGAATACTCCAATCATCATCAGACCCAATAGGCGAAGGACAAGAATCTTGAAACTTAAGTAGGAACGCCATTCAAGATTCTTGTCTTTCACCTATTGGGTCTGATGACGATTTGAGTGTTCAATCAAAATCGATCACCACTTACCATCTTTTATGTATAACTAGCAGAGTACCCGTCCTTCGTACGGGGTTGGCGTAAAAGTATATAAAATGATTATTGCAGGTATACTCATGCTTTGCGTTTGCAATAAGGGAGGACACAGTTTGATCAAATTTGCTTCTTTAAATTAACGGTATACTATAGTATTACACATCTACCATAGCCATAATGTTCTACCACTTCACCTAAACAATAAAGAAAAATTATTTATTAAACATTCGCAAAATATCACAAATTGTTCATGAAATTAAAAACATAAACAACTGTAAACAATCCTACTTTGACAGTTCTCATTGCGTATCACAGCTTTTTGTTGCTGCTTAGATCAAATTAGCTGTTTTCATAAATGCAAAGAAAAAAATAATAGTGCTGCACTCTGTTGGTAAATCTTAAAACTTTTTAATACTTTTGCATATCATAGAACCAACTTTTTTAGTTGAAACAGCTGACAAAATACTTTAATTCCCTTTAAATATGAAAACTCATAAGGTTAACATGGGGAACTACAGAGCCACTGGAGCGGAGCCCGAAAGGATTTTTGAGATAAGAATATGCCTATATGTTAATCGGGAATGTGAGCTATCATCATGCCAAATTTCAGCCCAATCCGTCCAGTAGTTAATGCGTGATTGAACTTCAAACACACAAACAAACAAACAAACACACAAACTTTCACATTTATAAAATTATAGTAAGATAAGATTTATAATATTAGTAAGATTATCGTCTTGTGAGTAACAGTATAAGCTTAAATATGTTTTAAGTGTATGGTAATATAACGATTCTTTTATTTACTTTCTGCAAATTTAATAACATGTACAATGCTGATCAAGAAGTTATTTAAAATAAAAGATAGGCCTACAAGCAACCATTTCGTTACGAGACAGGGTGTTTATTTATAGCCTCTCGCTGCAGGCTCGAGTCACAAAAGCCATCTTTACCTTGGAGTTGTTGGCCCCCTCCCCTTCCTTCCCTTCCCTACAAGGTGTGTTGTTTGTTTACTCTCTAGCGATAAGATAATTTCAAACAATATTACTGCGACTGTTTTCAAAAACGTAAAAAAATATTTTGAGTAGGCTACATACGAATTATTCTCTACAAACGATCTATCACTGTTTTGATTCTGTTTGACACACTGAAGAAGATCCTTCAGGAAACTTAATAAAAACACCTTTAATTTTTTACACTGTACCTACATTAAAACTCATGTAGCGTATTATTCCCATTGCCGAGCATGGGAGCGGAAATGCTGAGATGCCCGAGATACCTAGAATGTAGCGGTTATAAACTGAACCGCTCTCAAAACCAGATCAGTTTAAACAAACTGTAATATCTTACGAGCAAGAGATAATATGATTATCGGTTAATGCGAGGTCGGTTAAAAGGGGATTACTGTACTTTCAAAGAAACTTTTTAGGATCTTAGCTTAAGTTTATGGAGTAAGAAGGTCATTATTTACATAGGCCTATAAACAATTTCCATTTGTATATAGGCCTACTAAACATCCTCAAAGGTATCATAATTGCGGTCCCTGTCAGAACTCTAGCCTGGGGGTTTATGATGATTGTTAAAATCGTAATTATGACGCAATCAAATTTCTTTGGCAAAATCATTGCATTTTGTTAAAGCATTTCACACAAACCTAATCTTCTTTCGTGACAAAACAGTATAATATACTGTTTTGGATATTGTTTGTTTACGGAAATTAAATAAAAGAAACGTCTTATAACACTTAAAACATATATTTACGCTTACACTGTTACTCACAAGACGGTAAATATACAAAAAAGATGGTAAGTGGTTTTTTGTATATTTACCGTCTTGTGAGTAACAGTATAAGCGTAAATATATGTTTTAAGTGTTATAAGACGTTTCTTTTATTTACTTTTTGTAAATTTAATAACACGTACAATGCTGATCAAGAAGTTATTTATATTGTTTTTTCCGTTAACGTTCTTGAAATATATTTTAATTTTAGTTAAGTTAAATATTGATAGTTTCATTTATTGAATATCATTAAAAGAGTAGACTTCCGTATCTGTTGGCGAAAACAACCGAATGAAAATATCGATCGATATATCGAATGAAACAGTTGAATAATCAATATTTTCATTCGGTTGTTTGTGCCAACAGATACGGAAGTCTACCCCATCAAAAATATAGGCAACAGATCATTACTCAATTTGGCATTGACAGCAATCATTAAATAATGTTTAGGCCTATATTGAAAATTTTTTTAGAAGCAATAGCCTAGCCTATATAACTTATCAAACCAAATCTAAATTGATATAGGGTGAATGTGGGTAATTGTGAACTGGGGGAATTGTGAACTAGGGCTGTAATTTCTTAGTGTATTGTTGATTTGAGTAGAAATCAATGTTTTATGTTTATTTGGTTTGTTTTCTATACAGGATAAAAATTCTAGAAAGTTAAAAGCTGCTTAACTTTTTTTCAGGTTGGAAAAAGTTGCGTTTTTTGTTGACAAACAAGTTGCGTAGACCTTAGCAAATATTTTTTGTGTGAAAAAAGTAAAAGTCAGATTGACATGAAAACCAGTAATTATAGAAGAATTTCAAATGTATAATGCATTATATATCCTCATATCGATCCTGTAAGCAATTTTCTTTTTATTTGATCAAATTCACAATTACCCTCAATATTTTACTATGTGGGGGTAATTGTGAACGCTGTTCACATTTACCCTGCCTGTAAAAGAAACACATTTTTGGTTCTCATTAAAGATTTTTCTTCAAACCAATTATGCTGCCAACCCCAGAAACACCGTATAAAAAATACAGATTACTACAAGTTTCCACGTTGTGTTCCAGTTTTTGAGATGTAGGCGGACAGGACAGTTAGTTAATGATCAGTTAATGATTTGATTTCTAAATAGGTTTTTTATAGGTTTTTCAAGATAAAAAAACATTTTTAGTACAAGTAATATTTTGTAGGCCTAAAAGGAAAGTGCCTAATTTATTCTATCTAACCAATGTAATTTAGTTGTCTTTTCTAATAGTTGATTGCTTCTACACAGTAGGATTTAAATAATTTTATGAAGAAAATTTGTGCTCTTTCGTTTGTTAAAGGGAGATTATTTTGTCATTTCCTTTAAATTTTTGCTCTACTGTATCAAATAACAACTCTATATTATTTTCTCTTGTATAAGTATACTATTTTACCCATTAAATACATTAATTTTAAATATTCTGACCATGTTTTGTTATTTTTACATCTAGGCTACCTACCTGATTTTCTAACTATTTCAAAGTACCACGGAAAAATCTCATTTGCACGCTCATTTTTTGTCACATGCCATTGAAAGTGGGGAATTTGTGAACAGTTTGAGTTAGGCTTTAATCACAATACCCCTCCTATGCTGTAGTATGTAACTTAATATTTTTCTCAACTGACCGTTCAATTTACCGTACCCCAAAATTGTAGGCAATTGTGAATGCTGTCCGGGCAAGTGTGAATGCTGAATAACTCCTTCACTAAATAGAGAATGAAATTGGCTTATATGAAATATAAAGCCTAAAATATGTACGGTATAATGTTATAACACTGACCACATTTTTAAAATTGCTTAATTGCTTACAATTTTTTTTGTAAATTGCGTTTATCTGAAAAATATTTTATTGGCGTTCACAATTACCTACCCACGTTGACCCTATAGGCCTATCATTATTTAATCGGCTGCACTTTACTACTTTACGTCCTACACTCATTTGAGTGAAAATATCAATTATTAGATTGTTTCATTCGATATAGGCTATCGTTTGGTAAGTTAGGTTAGGTATACCTTACCTAACTAACCAAACGATAGCCTAAACTATAACTTATCGAATAATCGATATATCGATTGATATTTTCATTCGAATGAGTGTAATCTGATAATAACTTATATCGCAGGTTCTCCGTAATAATGTCACGAAATAACCAATATATGAAACACTGATCTGAACTTATTTAGGCATGTGGGGAAGGCAGTTAGGATTACACGGATTTTTGGATGCATTCAGTGTTTTGAGGTTAGGTTAGATTAGGAAGGTAAAGTGTAGACTAGAGTTAATGGTTGTTCATTTAAGTTACACCCATATTGTTTTTATCTTTGAGAATAGCCTTGTTGGTTAAATGACAAGACAATTTCAAAATACCTCATAGGCTAGTTGTTTAGACGTTTTTGGTTATTCCCTACGTAACTTAAAGTTTAGGCCTAGGCCTAGGCTAACTTAACTGTTTTTGTTTTATTTGACGAGGTCTAGGCTAGGCCTACTGGTTTTTATGTTGATGACCGATAAAGTACTTGATATTTAAAAGAGCCTAACTTACCTAGAGGTGGGCTGGAAGTACTTGAATGCAGAACGGGGTTTTCTGGCTTCATTTCCAACAAGATTTTATTGGTGGTGATCAAAGTTGTGTTGGTGTGTTGCAAAAGAGTTGGTTTTGAGAAGCGTATACGATACAAGATTATAAATCATCAATGAACCAGACTGACGCAAGAGTAGTACTAGTCCAGGCAACGAAAGGATATAGAGGGAAATGTTTGGAACACAATTTCTGACTTCGTATTCGTAACTTTGTTTAGTATAGTTAGGAGGTTAACATACCAAAAGTCCCCACCTCTAGCCCTTGTGCTGTGGGGGAGGGGGGGGCTTGAAGGTACAATTTTTCGGGTTTTTACTGATATCTCGGAAACCATGCGTCCAAGCGAAATTATGCTAATATACAAAATGAAAGCTTATTAAATTTCCAGCAAGTTTGTAATTTACTATTTTTCGATATCTTGTATAGTTTTCGCGTAATTTGCTATCAAAAGTTTGTAGATTTGGAAAAATACATTGTTTCCTCATGTTTTTTGTTCTTTTTGACAAGTTACCTCTTAAACTATGCACCCTAAAAATAAACGCTGGGCATAGGGTTGTAGAAAACTAAATTCCCTTCAATAATATATATGACTTTACTAGTTTACCGCCTTCCGTTCAGATTTTAAAGCAAATTAACCGTCAGAATAAAAAAATAAATTTAATTAAAATCTAGTGTTGAGCAAGGAATTTGAAGTCTTGCAACAGCTGTTGACTACTTAATATTTCAATTTATCACCTTACACAGTCAACTAATTGGTTGGCACATTCACTATCAAGTAGCTAAGGTGAGTGATGGGCGTCTAAAAATAGCACAGATACCCATTAAAAAACATATACTTTTGGGCTGCCTAACCAGCTTCCTCACACTTGATGATCTAGCTAGACTGTTGTAATGGGAAAAATATTGTGTTATAACCATGTTTATGCATATAAAAGTGTCTATATGACACTGGAAACAATCACAACCATTAAAATTAAACAAAGATAAATTACATATTTAAGTGAATTAATATAAAACATTACATCAGTAAGTAGCCTAATATTCTATCCCTTGCTATCTTTAGTTTAATAAGGACTACCATCCTCATCATTTTTATCCTTTTTTTCTCCATCGGACCTATTTTGGAAATAGGTATACTGTTTTTCTTCATATTCTTAGTCATCTTTCCCAGGGACAACATTTTGGCATTTTGGCATACTTTTAGGCTTGCTTTTTTGCTACCCGATTTTGCACGAGTACAGTTTTATGTGCATAGGCAGAAAACAATTTTGAGAATTTCCTTCAGTGTAGTTTAATGTTGAGTGTGCTCTGCTACTACAGAGTTTTTATTATTCTTTTCCACTCTTACATAAGAGAAGGCAGGTTATTTCCCAGCCACAGCTGAACCTTTTGGAATGTAAATGATAGGAAACGATGTTTTAAAGCACCATCAGTCGGAGGAAGACAAGATATATTAGGCTTGATGGAGACCATCGATTTAAAAATTGACTTGTACCTGTATAGATTGAAGTTGAAGGATACCTCTCTCGCTAGAGCCCTTATCAAATCAAGATGTATATTTTCCCTACCTTTTGTATTTGGGTGGTGTTGGAGAGGGGGCGTGAAAGACCGATGATGCATTTTGGGCCACTGGGGAATTCAGATACAACTTTGCTTAAGCAACCTTGCTTTTCTAAAATGCTGAAGTTTTTTTGTCACATCCAGTAGAATCGCGTTCAAAATATCACCTAATCCTTGTTAAGATAGTTTATGGTGCGAGAAAAAGATGTCCCTTACCTTCTTTCTTAGAGAATAAGAGGATAAAAACGATAGGTATGAGGATGGTAGTCCTTTCCAAACTAAGAAAGCAAGGGTGAATTGACTCAATAGTAGGCTAAGGCTACTCACTGATGTAATGTTTTATGTTACTGTAATTCCTACTTAAATATGTAATTTATCTTTGTTTAATTTTAATGGTTGTGATTGTTTCCAGTGTCATATAGACACTTTTATATGCATAAACATGGTTATAACACAATATTTTTCCCATTACAACAGTCTAGCTAGATCATCAAGTGTGAGGAAGCTGGCTAGGCAGCCAACATGTATATATTTTCTATAGGGTATCTGTGCTATTTTTAGACACCCATCACTCACCTTAGCTACTTGATAGTGAATGTTCCAACCAATTAGTTGACTGTGTAAGGTGATAAATTGAAATATTAAGTAGTCAACAGCTGTTGCAAGACTTCAAATTCCTTGCTCAACACTAGATTTTAATTAAATTTATTTTTTTATTCTGACGGTTAATTTGCTTTAAAATCTGAACGGAAGGCTATCTGAACTAGTAAAGTCATATATATTATTGAAGGGAATTTAGTTTTCTACAACCCTATGCCCAGCGTTTATTTTTAGGGTGCATAGTTTAAGAGGTAACTTGTCAAAAAGAACAAAAAACATGAGGAAACAATGTATTTTTCCAAATCTACAAACTTTTGATAGCAAATTACGCGAAAACTATACAAGATATCGAAAAATAGTAAATTACAAACTTGCTGGAAATTTAATAAGCTTTCATTTTGTATATTAGCATAATTTCGCTTGGACGCATGGTTTCCGAGATATCAGCAAAAAACCGAAAAATTGTACCTTCAAGCCCCCCCCTCCCCCACAGCACAAGGGCTAGAGGCGGGGACTTTTGGTATGTTAGCCTCCTAACTATACTAAACAAAGTTACGAAGTCAGAAATTGTGTTCCAAACATTTCCCTCTATACCCTTTTTTTAGCATTCGTTGCCTGGACTATACGTATCGTATCGTATCGGAATATCGCGATACGCGAGGGACGATACGATATTTCGATACGATATTTGAAAAACTATACGTATCGTATCGCCTAAAACGATATTTGTATTTATATCGGCACATAGAGCGATACGATTCATGTCAAAACGATATTTTTAATTTTTTTTGCGCAGGCCGAGCAAACTGCAAAATCTGTACTCTGTGGATGTGTAGTTTGAAATAGGAGTTTTTGATGTCTGTATTTTTGGTTTTTACTTGATAATGTACCAGTCCCATCCACTGAGCTAAAATTATAACTGGAGGTAGCACAGCCATGGCAGAAGTCTGTCAAAAGTGTGTCGCTGATTTTGTTAGGTTGGTATAGCAGTGGGTTTTCTTATCATAGCAATAACATGGCTTCTTATAACTAGGTTGGTATAGCAGTGAGTTTTCTTGTCATAGCAATAACATGGCTTCTTATGACATGACACCCGCCTCACGCAAACATGGCGGCTGGCGACACGCATCTTTGACATTCAGTGCTACCTCCAGTTAGATTGATAACTCAGTGATCCCATCCCAGTCCATTTCCACTAGCGTGCTATGGCTATCTGGCAGTCTGGCACTAGCAGTGCAGACTGCAGACTGCAGAATGTGGGAACTGTCTGTGGCTGTGGCAATTACATTAATGTATCTGCAATCCTAAAATGCTATGGGAAGGATAGGGAAACAGGTCCAAGACGTAGGGAGTTGTGAAGGAAGTAGTAAAGGCGAGCAGTGTGGAGTGTGGAAATGGAAATATGTATCTGCAATACTAAGACTGTTTTCAGAGTAAACTAATGATTTTCCTCGAGCAAAGCTTGGTCCCCAGGTACTTATATAAATTTGCCGTTTCTAGGTTAGGTAGGGGAGGGGGGAAACGATACGATACGTATCGTTTTTCGATATTTTTGACGATACGATTCGCGTATCGCGATACAGACGCCCGATTCGATACGGCGATACGATATTTTTTCCGATACGTATCGTATCGCTGTATCGCGATACGCGTCTGTATCGCCCATCACTAGAGTAGGGTAAGCGCGACAGAATCGAGCTACAAAGTCAGACACTAGAGTCTAAACCTTCGCTAAATCATCACGATGTTGTCCCCTGGCACTGCGGAGTGGGGGAAGCAAAGCATTCTATTGGCTGAGAAAACACCATTACCGCAACGATACGGTTTGTAGTCACCGGCCTCGGTGGCCTAATGGATAACGTGCCGGGCTGATGATCTGAAGGTACCAGGTTCGAATCTTCTCGGTAGCACTAACTTTTTGTCTAAGATTTTTGCATTATCAGCAAGTTTGGTTAGGTTATGACAGTTTAATTTGTTAATTAAAACATTATAAAATTCAATTTGAGCTATTATAATTTTAGAACTATTTTTTTTTCTATCAGTAAACCTTGTTCGATTTTTCATTATCAGCAAGTTTGGTTGGTTTGGTTAGGTTATGACAGTTTAATTTTATAATTAATAAATTCTAAAATTGAATTCAAGGCATTAACAATTTTATTTTATGAACAGAACTATTTTTTCGATTAGTAAACCTTCATTCGATTATTATTTTATATATTTTTTTATATAATCAGCATGTTTGGTTGGTTAGGTTAGTTTATGACAGTTTAATTTTATAAATATTCATTTTTTAACTTATTGAAAAACTGCAGCATAGGTTTATGCATGTAAAACAACGCGGGCTTGTTTGGACGCCGTCTAAAGGGGAGGTGGAGGGAGAACCATTTCCCCCACTCCGCAGCGCCAGGGGACAACATCGTGATGATTTAGCGAAAGTTTAGACTCCAGTATCGCAGACAAGACAAGCAGATTAGCTTAAAAGGGTATTTACTCAGGGGAGGTATAGAAGAGGCTACGATGACAGCTGTGGGCTTCTTATTAGCTGAGGGAACGCCATTACCGTAATAAAACGGACAATAGCCATCGGCCTCGGTGGTCTAATGGTTAGCGTGCTGGGCTGATATACTGTAGGTCCTGGGTTCGAATCCCGCTGGTAGCGTTAACTTTTTGTCCAAGATTTTTTTATTATCAGCAAGTTTGGTTGGTTTGGTTTGGTTATTACAGTTAAATTTTATTATTAAGTCATTATAAAATTTTAATTGAGCAATTTCTAGTTTTATTTTAATAAACAGAATTATTTATTTTTTCCGATTACTAAACTTTTGTTATGTTAATTCTTTATCAGCAAGTTTGGTTAGTTCGGTTAGGTTATGATAGTTTAATTTTATAATTAAGAAATAATAAAATTGAATTTGAGACATTTATAATTTTATTTTGTGAACAGAACTATTTTTGCGATTAGTAAACCTTCATTGCCAAAGTGCTCCCTACTACAGCGCTGTTCACGGAGGAATTTTGAACTAAATACCTCTTTCGTACCTCCCCAAAGTCAGACCCATGGTCAGACCCATGGTGGAAGGAAAAAACAGGTCAGACCCGCATAAAAGAAAGCAGCACTCGACTGGAAAGTGAGGTTAGGAATTCAGAGTGAACGCTTTTTCATGTTTCAGGCATAGCTTACTGTATGCAGCTTCGTTGTTCAGTTATTGGTTGCGACCAAAGATGGTTTACATCGGGAGTATGTTTTATCTATGTTGAAATCAAATTTATAAGGTAGGTAGTTAAAGTGAGACACCAACAGAATTTGCTGTTGCTAATTACTGGTTTCAAATCACTAATATGGAGATTTATGTGGAATTAAATAACTCTTTTCCTATTTACACTTTAAATTAGAGGAATTCGTACTATCTCGAGGCTTAAAATTAATTAGCAAACTCAAACGACAACACACGTCATTTAAATATTCATTAATTTAAATTACTTATTAAATCCACTCATACTTGGCTCAAAATACCTACATTCGTATGGTTGCCATATCAAATTAAAGAATTTTAATAAACCATACTTTCCTCCATTGAAATTAAAATCTATTAAGAGAGAAAGAAAAAAATATGCATTGCCAATGCCAACGCCAACAATCTTAAAATTGTGACTATTAATCAATTAAAAATTCTTATTCTAGCCCGATGAAAATAAAAAATAATTGGTAAAATATTGCACGTATAAGTATGGTATTGGTAAAGTGTAAAGTGTGTGGGCGGAATTGTGCTGAAGCACGGCCGCCTTTGCTGAAGTCCCTGTCCTTTTATCTGGCAAATCGCAGGAAAGTAGTTTCGATAAATGGGGCCTTCTCCTGCGTTAGGAGTATCATACATGGAGTGCCACAGGGCTCGGTTCTCGGCCCTCTCCTTTTTAGTGTGGCGATGAACGACTTGAGGCTAAATGGCTCCACCCTCCTTTTCGCTGACGACACCGACACCACCCTGATATCTACGAGTAGAGGAAGTGACATTGAGCAACTGCATATTGAAGCTGACCATATTTTGGAGCTGGCCATGAACTGGTTTACAGCAAACCTCCTGAAATTAAATGCAGCCAAAACTCAGTCCTTGCTCTGCACACTGAAGCCAGCCACAACCCGAAAGGGATGAGGGGGTTAAAGTTCTAAGGTTCTGTTTGGATCCCAAACTGAGCTGGAGCTCACATATTGATCGATAGGTAATGCGCACGGCTATCTAGGGTTATTTGCCTCCCAAGGAAACTTCGGAACGTCATCCCGAAGCAATTCTTGATAAGTGTGTACATGCTCTGTTTCATAGCCATCTTATGTACGGCTTGGTACTTTGGGGTCATTCACCAGCAGCACAGGACATATTGCTCCAGAAAAAAAGCTGTAAGAATCATAATGTCAGCCGACTACAACGAACATTGTAGGCCCCTTTTTAAAGATCTGGTACAGTCTTTAGTCAATACGTATTGAACATCCTAATACTTCTGAAAGAGAATGCCCATATCTGTTTGACCGAAGAGAAGTTCATCACCACCATGACACCCGGCAAGCACTATACCTTGACATGCCGCGGGGTCGTCTCACCCGCACCCTCAAGAGCTATCCCCGCTATGCCATAAGGCTTTTTAACAACTTGCCGGATAAGGGGCGGGATATGAACATCACCTCTTTCAAAGCGGCAATCAGAAACAGCTTAGTAAATAGGCCACTATATTCGCTGGAGGAGCTGAATTAAGAGCCCCTAAAAGTTACATAGAAGCCCTTCCCTAAATATGGGAAACTCGTCTTATTTACCACCACAGCCAGATTAAGTTTTGTATGTATGTAAATAGCAGTGTTTATTTTTTAAATGTATATGTAATAACGCAGTCTGTGGTCTATCCGACATTGTAGGTCAACGACGCAGCATCACGCTCCATAATCAATGATGTAGCGGCAGCTTGGTTTCGATTCTACTTCTTCGTCTCCAATCCGGACTCCAAACAGTCCAAAAGTAAAGCTTTCTGTTTATTTTTGTTTTTGTTTACATTTGTTATGACAGTTGTTGGTTGTTGGGGTTATGGTAAACATTAAGTTAAATCTTGTTGTTTCTTTTTAGGGAACCTTATTATCTACAAATTAATAACTAGACAATTTTAAATTTTATTTAATGTGTAGTGAACTATTATAATGTTTTTATTTAGTTCAATGTTTTATTAAATACATTCAAAACATTTACAGCCATGTAAGTTCAGTGAAAGCAATGAACACTTGGTGATGTAACCAAAACCAAGAAAAGAGAAAGTCAAGTGTCATTAGTTTCTCTGGTTTTGTTTTGGGTTGACACCTCGTGTTTTTCTTAAAGTCCTAGTTATAATTCAAAATTAAAATAGTCTACCAGTGATTATGCTTATGATCGTCTGAGTTTTTAAATAATATTTTAAAGTGAGTTACAATCACTATGTTTTCTTCCAGTGACTTGAAGTTAAGATCTAGAACAGTTGTGAAAACTAACTTTAAAACGATGGCATCAGATAAATCAAATGTAGATCAAGAATCAAAATATATTGTGAAAGTAGTTTTTGTGTCTTTACTGTTAGATTTACTGGCATTTACCATGATTCTTCCTCTTTTACCATCCTTAATGGAACATTACCGTAAATATGACAGCAAGGATGGACTGTACCCTTTTCTGTTGGAAAAAGTTGAAAATTTTAGAAGCTTAGTCGGAGCTCCTGAAAGATTTAACTCTGTGCTTTTTGGAGGTAGGGCTCAGCTTTCCTTTGAAATTATATTTGCACCTAACGTAGGAGTATAACTTAAGTTAATGATCTTGTCTCTAGACTCGTATTTTGGAATTAAAACCATTCAATTTAATATGCATTGCTTGCACTTACATTGGGGATATTGCGATATTATCGATATCAATGCATATCTATATTTTCGTTTCGATATTTCCGATATTGTATCGATATTGGGGTTTCGATAATATCGTGATATCGGAAGAATTTGGTCGATATCGGTTCTTGATATTGAATTTTTTAAGTTTAGATAAAGTTTTAGTGATATCGACATGTACCTCACGGCCGCCTTTAAATCCAGGCCGCAGCCTTCGAAGTGGCAACGTCGCAAGTGGTGTTGTAACAGCTGTTTTGTTTGGAAGCAGCTAATGGTATTTGTGTATTTGTGAAAGATTGGTTACTGGACTATGACGATATTAACTCCGCTTAAAATGTACAGATCTAGATTTTTAATTCATATTATTTCGGTTTTCCATTCTGTATGTTTTATTTTCAATATTTTAATAAATTTATGTTCATAAATTGAAATTTAAATCAATAGAGTGTGAATTAATGAGCTGATGTCACCTGTCTGCCATGTTATCTTATGGGACGTCTGTCACTAAACAACACCACTTGCGACGTTGCTAATTCTACCAGACCGCGGCCTGTAGTTAAAGGTGGCAGTGCATACCTTCTTATCGAGTTAAGTTATGTACAAGATAAAATCCACACTAATATGGGAATAGCTGGTTATATGTTTTGTGGTAGAAGGAACTAAGTTAGTAGCAACTGATTTTTATTGCTGGAGTGTTTTAGTGGGGCCTTGGTTGGTTGCGCTGTCAGCTGTCACTTGTTAGTTGTCAGAGCTCAAGAGCCGTTGATTATAGCCTACACTAAAGTCCACCAGTGCTAACCTTGTTTAAATTGTTGTAAATACAGTAATTATTGTTTTATTGTAACTCAAAAAAATTAGGCTGGTTTTGAAATGCACTGTGTTTAAAGCTCCAAACAACTATGTTTAATGCTTAGATTTTTATTAGTAATTTAAAATTTCACTTCCTCTTTGGTCCTTATAATTAAAAAGTAATAACAATCAACAGGTACTAAAGTGAAAGTAACATATCTGCCAAAAAATATGCCTAAAAAAGACAGAACGCCTAATCAAAAATCCTAAACAAGCTCTAGCAAGTAATTAAAAAGTAGATTCCTCCAAAGTAATATCGATTATCGATATTTGGAATCCGATATTATTGTGATATCGATATTAGAGGCTGGATCGTTATTGATATCTAATATCATCGATAGATTGCTGATATCGCAACAACCCTACTTGCACTGCACTTTTGTTAAGTTACATTCAAAATTGTAACTTGATAGCTATGAGTCTGAACGGTTGTGTAAGTTTTCTTTTACTGCTAGATATAGGCCTAACCTTAAATAATTAGCCTGTTTCTTTTACAAAAAATCTGCATTTTTTTTACTTAGCTAATGTCTAGTGTCCCAGCACATTAACTCAATTATCTCATACTAATTTTCCACCCACTGTTGTCAACTGACAACTAACTACACAAACATCTCTAACTACTGACATCCACCTAACATACATTTTTTTTTTAGTTGCAAGTTACCATAGCTAGTTAGTTGCAGGGACGTATTTAAGTATCTGCCGCCTCCAGGCAACAAAGTTTGCCGCCGCCCCCTCCCACTTTACTGCTCACCCTCGACCTCACTAGTATCCAACTTAGTATCACCCCTATGACCACAATACATGCCCTGTCCGCTGATTTTGTAGAAAATAATCGGTAATATTGCATGCTACATCAACAAATTTAATAACTTTTTGACCCCTTTTAACTTTTTTGAGGGTTTTTTGCGCTGTTTCTATGCAAAACATTCTGACTTGGATAGACCTACACGGAATGCAACTTTCTTTTATCTAATCAGTATTTTTACAATCCTGTTTTGCGGCATGAAACGGCACACAAAATCGTCTGTATACAATGGTTCTTATAACGCTTTTCATTGAACAATTTTAGTCAGATCCACTATCAGATGCCACTACGTAGCGGCCGGCTCGGCAACCCGCTCCCGTGGCGCGCGTGTCCGCCAGGCCAATAGGGCAGCACGGAAAACTCAGCACAGCTGTAATATGCTATTGCATTTGTTTGACTTTAATGTGTTCTGAAATAATTTTATACTTAATCAAAATATTTCAAATGGCTGTTTTGCCATTCCCAGAATTATTTGATAAACATTTTTTTTTTAATTAAAACCTCTTTTTTTATTTTTTATAACCTTCAAAATTTTGCCGCCCCTAAAATTTGCCGCCGCCTAGTCCACCTATTCAGAAATATGTCCCTGGTTAGTGGTATTCCAATGTCTGCAAATCACAAGCTGTTGGCCCATCCTACATACGGGAATCGAATAGTCAATTAAAACTGTTTAACTGATTCAATAGAGGTAAGACCAATTTTCAAGATAGGGGATGAAACAAGCTGCAACAACTACAAGCCTATTAGTTTAATGTCCACAGTCCACATTATCTTAAGTGTTTGAGAAAGTTGTACTTAACAGATTGTGGAGTTTCCTAGTGTCCAGAAACATCCTATATGAAAAACAACACAGGTTTGTAAAAAAATTGACAACCAGTGCTATGCTTGGTCTTATTAAGAGAGTGGTGAAGCCTATGGATTCACGCCAGCAAGTAGCAGGCTTGACTATCCTTATGTGGCCTATGCTGTACCTGTCTGGGGGTGTGAAAACCAAAGGATTCAACTCATATTCAAACTTTTTAAAAATTGGGTTTTCCCTTAACTGTTGCCTATCCTGCAAAGAAGTCTTCAAATCACAAGTTCTCACTTTCCTATCCATTTACATCTTAGATACCCTATCATTCATTAAGAAAAACCTTTCATCATATAGTTCTCCAAGCTTCCATACCGGTAGTTATCCTCTTCGCGACAATTTCAATCTTTCAGTACAACTGCATTCCATCACATTCTTTCAAAAAAAAAACTTTCACTTCATATGTAATATTTACTTGGCAACTCATAAGGCCAATGTTAAAATTTTAAAGTTGCAAATGAGTTGTGTAGCAAAATACAATTTATCCTGAGGTAGCAACTGTCGCCAATCACGTTTTTATGGCTATTGTACCCAATTTCAAAATTTAGTCAACATCCTTCTGCTGTATTTTGAGATATATATTACAGACATAAAATCAGACATAGTTAGTATAAGAGTATAGGATTTGTCACATTAAAAAAAATTAAAGGACTTAAAAAAAAATTAAAATTAACTGCGTATTACCTTGAGGTCAGTGGCACAACCCTTATTCCATGTCGAAGGGTAAACCGAGGCATCAGGGAGGTTTGGGCAGTGGGTATAACATCACATTGATAACTATTAGAGTTTTTTGTCAATTATAACAATATCGTTTTTAAATGTGAGCTCTCTAAACTATGTTTGAAATAGCAGTAGGGCAATCACCTTTTTAGTGGACCTACTGACCTACTCAATCATTTTTTCCCCTTCTACTCTTATTTTTTTACCAAACCTGAAAAGGAAGCCCAGGAACAATTGTGTATGGTCAAAATTTATTGCATATCAGGTTAAGCATTTTTAGATAACAAGATGTAAATTTCCACATATATCATCATTTTGTATTTGTTTTAGGATTGTTGGGCTCGTTGTTCTCATTTCTGCAGTTTGTTGCATCGCCCCTAGTTGGAGGCCTTTCCGATGTTTATGGCAGGAAACCTATTCTCGTATTATGTCTGGTATGTATTATTTTGCATACAGGCGCACAGTTAAGAGGGTGGTTTTTTAAATAAGGGCCGTTTTTGTGTATGAATCCGTAGTTCGCTTGTACTCTACAACTATGCTCCTCGCCACTTACTGGAATCATTTGTGAACAGAATGACGCAATTTGTAGCTCTGTAGCTGACATGTACGCTTCGCTATGTGTTAAAAATATTTTTTGCTACCTATTGAATCTTCCATCGGGTGCGAAATAAGGTCAGTGAATGTTTTTTGATTGCAAGAAACATATCCGATGCCGACATTCATCGCCAGATTACTGAAGGCTACAGCCCTAATGAATGAGTGAGGGGGATGAATGAGTGGGGTGAGAGCGGAAATGGGTTATGGGGTAGTGTAACAATGGCTGTGAAATCCTTTTTACTTTGTGAACAGAAAAATAAGTGAACATGAAAATTGTATAGGCCTAATTAAAATTATAAATTAATGTAATATTTAAAAAATATTTTTTGAACATAGTTTCAACGGTACTTTTTGCTCCACAGCTTGGGATCTCTATGTCATACCTTCTATGGGCAGTTTCTCACAGCTTTGCCATGTTCGTGTTGGCAAGAGTTGTTGGAGGAATCAGCAAAGGCAATGTCAGCTTGTCAATGGCCATCATCACTGACTCTTCCACATCAAACAAAAGAGGGTTTGGTATGGTAAGCAAGTTGCTGTAGCCTAATCTCTTTTTTAATAAATATCTTTTGGTCTAGTGTAACTATTAAAATACAGGTTTGTTTCTATGCATAAACTTTTTTAAGCAGTGCCAGATGTAGGGTGCTTGCGGTCCTAGGCCAAGCTAATCTGAGCGGCACACGCCCCTAAGGTAGCCCTTCTAATGTGTGATCTGGAAGGTTAACCCTAGCAGTGGCCAATGTTAGAAGTGGGAAATGGCCAACCCATTTTGGCGATTTAGAAGACCTTTTTTTGAAAATCCGTAAACATTCAACCGTACAAGTAAACCTAACCAACCTTATATTCATTTTGTTCGGAAAGAACAAGAGAATCTAGAAATAGTAATATAATACAATTGGGCTGAAATTTGGCACTATGATAGTTCAATGTCATTCAGAATAAAACCACTGATTGTAAAACATTTTTCATCAATGTTAGTTTCATTTTTACTGCTAATGTTTTAAAGTTTTTATAAAAGTATATTAAGTGTGTATAAAAAGTATTATCTGAAGTTATTATACCTTTACCAATTCGGGAGTGCCCCTGAACGCCAGGTAGGCTCACGCACACAAGGACAGGAGATTAGGACCGGCTACATTCTGTCACGCGAGCTCTGTTAACTAGTCGCAATGGGCATTTCCTTCATCAAATGTAAAACTTTTTAACTTTAATATTAAACACAAAATAGTTAGCAGTAATCGATTCTGTTCATCAACACAAGAAAATTGATACTAAACAACATATTAGTTATCGGCAACCTGAAATTTATTATTTAAGTCAATCATGGGTTGTTTGGTATCATTGTTATTGTAATATTCAGCGGAATTTAAATGTATTAACCTTTTTGATTTAAAATTACAACTTTAAAAGTTACATTTTGATTACAAGTGGTATCTAAGAAGTAATGAAGCGAAAATACGAAGGGCCTAGGGGAGGTCCTAATCCTCTCTGCACGTGAGGGTGAGTGTGCGTGCGTGTAGGGAAACTGACCTGGCGTCCAGGAGCATTCCCAAATTGCTAAAACTATAACTCTTGACATCTTTTTACTTAACATGATTTTATTGTTTAAAATTATGTACCTATTAGAAAAATATAACTTCTTGAAATTAACATTTTCCAGGCTCTAGTTGGAATCGCCTTTTCGGTGGGGTTCATCGTGGGTCCTGTCATAGGTGCCATGTTCGCTCGCTGGGGCCAAACTCAGACAGAGAATTCGGATTGGTTTGTGATGCCAGCTTTGTTTGCATTTTCTCTTGCCTTGGCGGACATCATTTTTGTAGTATTTTTCTTCAGAGAAACTCTTCCTTCAGTAAGTGATGTTCTTCTTTTATCTTTAAAACATAATATATCATTTATTTACATCAATGATAGATACATATAGTGGTTTAATGTATCCTACTTTCGTCCCAGTCCAAATTTAGGTCATGATCACGCAGATGCCATTGTCAAGAATATTAAATTTCTACAGAAAATTTTATCTACTCGGACTTTAGTGTGAAAATTATATCCACTCATAATTTATGTATACAATGTCAGTGTCGGTCTATGTTTATATGTACAGAAGCCCCTTTCATGACGTCCAAATGACCGAATTCTTTTGAAATTTAAATTCTGGACAATGGCATCTGCGTGAACATTACACAACCAGTGAGTTGAAACCTTGGTTTTAGTAAATAGCAACTAAATTAAGACCGGGACAAAAGTAAAGGGAAGTTAAGCCACTATAAATTTGTCTTACCAGTTTAGAGGCAAGCCACAACAATGGCTAAATTAAAGATAGGCTACTCTTATTTCCTGCAAATAACGTTGTTTTCAGGTTTCCATTCATTAGTAATTTAAAATTCTATGACCTGGGTGTCAGTTCAATACAATTTAATATAAAAAACCCCATAAGCAATTTTTAAAAACATTGATCCTGTTGTTACAAAGTAAAATCTAGCCATCAATCCAAGTTACTCAATAATATCTTGTTGTCATAATCATCAGGTAAATATTTATGATGGTTAACTTTTACAATCTAAGGCTACGATTATACTAGGACGCTGGCGTCCGGGAGGAAGGCCGGCGTCCGGGATGCTAGCGGGGCATTAAATCAAATGGGGGCGATTATACTAGGGATGCCAGCGTGGGATGCTAAAAAAACCACCGGACGCTCAATTTTGTGCCTGAAATTCAAGCGTCCGGTGACTTTTTGCCTCCAGGGATGCACAAAATCAGTTGTGGTTCAAATGTGGCGCATTATACTGGGCGGCTAGCATCCGAGACACTCTCTTTCGACATGTGCGCAAATATAGAGAATACGCTATTACCTACCATAGGTCGTATAGTAAGACATCAACCCGGGACCGGTCTACTTTTTTGATTTGATGTCCCCAGAGGCCAAAAACACCATCCGTTCATATAGATTTTAATATTATGTATATGTCCGTAAACGCGATAACTTGAGTTTTTTTGTCCGATTTTGATTAAATTTGGCTTGAAGGTGAAGGGCGGAATAAACTTGAATGAGTTCGCGAACCAGCATGAACGGACCTTGGAAACGGGGTTTTATGGGGGTAAAAAAGGGGGTTAGTCTTTTTTTTACCCGTAAAACCAAAAATTTCCCAATTTCTCTCTGGACAATTTTAACCCATTGGGGAAGGAATTAATGCGCTACCTGCAGCACCCTCTGGCGGCAATTAATTTTACCGAATTTGTAGACTTTTACTCTAACTGCTATAGAAAGAAAACCTTAGGTAATAAATTAATAATTCTTTCACCATTTTGTTTACAGTAAAATTGTCTACAGAAAAGTGGTAATTGGATAGTCAAAGTTCTAAACTAAAAAAAAAATATAAATATAAAGATTATAAAAATAAAGATTTTAAAAACAATATTTTGAAAGTAAACTTGATATACAAATTCCAAGATTAATCCAGACACCAAATAACACTACTATTATAAAGTTCAATTGATTCCCTACGTAGAAAAATCAAAAGTTGTGTACTTTTATTAGTAGTAACATTTTTTTTTTATTGTTTGTTTACCTTACCGCAGCTGATTTTGGTGATATGTGGTTTCCATGGCAACACAAAATTGTTTGTTATTCGCTAAAATAAATGAGTAAATACGCAAATCAAGAAGCAAGATATTTATAAACATTATAATAGTAAGAAGAAACAAAAAGGGCGAAAAATAATAATAACTAAATAACTAATGGCGCTGCCTAGCGGTGACACGAGCGGCACTCGTAAGTCGGCCGCCGGGCCTGCAGCGGCCGTACGAGTAATGCCTGTAAGTCGGCACCAATGGGTTAATGAGCTTAAAAAAATAATGTAGTAGGTATACTAAAGTGTTTTTGTACGGTTATTAGATACGGAGAAAATTCAAAAAAGTGTAAATTAAAAATTCCCTCTTCTTCTTCTTTCCACCTCTGATTCGTATCAACTTTTTAAACTTCAAAAAAGAATACTTAGAATTATGACTTTTAAACCCGTTAAACATTCTTGCAAACAACTTTTTAAAGAACTAAAGATTCTAACCGTCCCTAATTTGTATAAATCCCGCCCTCGCTAGTCCGACGCTTTGAAATCCGACATACTTGGTAATCTGACGCGCACATCCGCGTAATCCACTACGGGAGCAAAAAATCAAGCATGCAGTGATATGAAACACTGTGACTCACGTCTCGTTGCCGTCGGAGCACTTTCTGTTCAGTGTTCAGTTGACTTTTAGGACATGCAGTACACTTTCCCGGTGCAGTGGTATTTTCTTTGTTAGTAAGTGCAAGTGTTCGTGTACAGTAGTTGTGTGAAATGGCTAGTACAAGTGGTGTTAAACGGAAACACAAAACTTTAACAATATCGTAGAAGTGGGAGATTATTAAAAGAATAGATAGCGGTGAAACGCCGACTGCAGTAGCGAAATTTTATGAAATCGGACGGCCTACGATTTATGATATAATGAAGAATAAAGAAAAAATTGAAGGGTTTATGAAGTCTATTGAAGACTTCCCAAGAATTTAATGGTGATTAATACATTGTTTAAAATGATAGTTATATCTTTTTGGCAATCAAATGCATTACAGAATAGCCGACGTTTTTGGTAATCCGACAGTATGTCAGTCCCGTACCTGTCGGACTAGAGAGGGCGGGCTGTATTCTTAAATGTTTATTGTATGTGAAATCAAATTTTGAAAAACTCTACAGTGAAAATAATCGGCACAATTATAACACTAGATTTCATACAGATTTTCAATATCCTATACACAGATTAAATCTTGTGGAAAGGACACCTTCTTATATGGGTAAAAGATTTTTTAACAATTTGCCTGGGTACCGGTACTACAAATCAATAATAGGATTAGTATCTTTTAAAGAAAAATTGTTGAATTTTTGTTAGAAAAGAATTATTATAGTATAGATCAGTTTCTCAAAGACAAATCAATGTGAATTTTTTGTTTTGTTACTATGTATTTATTTTTACCAATAAGCTAGTTTATTTTAGTATAGTTTGACAATGTCACCTGCTTTGTCTGGCTGTGCTAGAGCATTTGAAAAAACGTTATGTGACAATAAAGGTGACTTTGACTTTATAGAAAATATTGTTAACTGTTGGAATTTGTTTGTGTATGGATCATACACTTGTATTTAATCAAACTTAGCCAATTTGTTTTATACTAAGCTTTTAATATTTTACTAAAAACACACTTTATTAGCCTCCATAAAGCAGCAAACCAGGGTACTCGTTAAACCTAATGTTATTTAAATAGATATAAACAAAAAGTGACAAAACATTGAAATAAAATGGCAGTCCGAGAGGCTAGCATCCCAACACAAATCACGTCATTTTTGCCAGCGTCCTAGTATAATCGTAGCCTAAAAGAAACATTGTTTACAAAGGTTTGTTCAGTTTGAATAGTGAAAAAGATATCAGTAAAGTTATGTTCATTACATTATGTGATGGCATTTGTAACTCATCAGGGGCTATTAATTAATGATGCTTATTAAAAGGTCGATGTTATATAGTTTATAGATCAGAGTTTGGACTGTTCCTATACAAAATATACAAAACTAGCTGTGTACCCGTTCTACGCACGGGGATCTTATAGTATTCAGTTGAAACCTTCTTATATAAAGAACAGCAGTTGGTTTGCATATTTTCAGATATGCTGGCCAAACTATTATACATAACTTCATTTTATGTTGTTTGTTGTTGTTCCGGATCAGTATAAAAACACACTGGAAAAATTATAGGATGACTAGATGTATTATATTACCTGTTGAAATGGGGACGCCACCAAGGTGTGTATTTTAGCAAATATGAGTCAAGGATGAGTGTAGAATGAAGTGAGATCTACCGGTTACTTTTGTTGCTAAGACCAGCTATTTTATTCACCAGGACAATGTACTAAGGGATGGATACTAGTCTATTAATAGTTTGAACACATGTACTGGATCCACTTAGAAGATATATCTTTTTTATTACAGAAAAAGCGAGCCTCGTTATCAGCAAGCATCAGTCAGACCACAGCTTACATCAGTGTGCCAGCTCTCTTTAACTTTACTGCCGTCACAGACCTTCCAGCCAAAGGTATTGTTTGTGTGTCATATACAGGAATGACACCTTTCTATAGGTTACAAACGATCAATCTAAAGATTGTTAGTAAATGTCTATTGTTATGCTACAAAACTATGTTAGTTGTTACCAAGAATTTATAATTGATATTTGATACCATAGGCCGCTCAGTGGTGACGATCTTAGGGGGGAGGGGGGGCAACCCCCCACTTTTAGAAGTTTTTAGGTTATATTATTGATGAAGGTTATGTTAACTTGTTCATATTATGAACAAATTAACATAACCTTCATCAATAATATAACCTAAAAACAAAAATAATATTGGCTAGTTCTACTGAAACAGCCTAGAAGTGTATAAAAATAAGCCCTCATATGCCGGTATTTACCCGTTCCTAGTATTGTTACTCTGCAATTGTTTGTTACAGACAGTAAGGAGTTGAGGATGCTAGGTCTGGTCTACTTTGTTTACCTGTTCCTAGTATTGTTACTCTACCATTGTTTGTTGCAGACAATAAGGAGTTGAGGATGCTAGGTCTCGTCTAATTTGTTTACCTGTTCCTAGTATTGTTACTCTACAATTTTGATTGTTACAGACGGTAAGGAGTTGAGGATGCTAGGTCTAGTCTACTATGTTTACCTGTTCCTAGTGTAACTCTACCATTGTTTGTTACAGACAGTATGGAGTTGAGGATGTTGGGTCTGGTCTACTTTGTTTACCTGTTCCTAGTATTGTTACTCTACCATTGTTTGTTGCAGACAGTAAGGAGTTGAGGATGCTAGGTCTCATCTAATTTGTTTACCTGTTCCTAGTAGTGTTACTCTACAATTTTGATTGTTACAGACGGTAAGGAGTTGAGGATGCTAGGTCTGGTCTACTTTGGTTACCTGTTCCTAGTATTGTTACTCTACCATTGTTTGTTGCAGACAGTAAGGAGTTGAGGATGCTAGGTCTGGTCTACTTTGTTTACCTGTTTCTAGTATTGTTACTCTACCATTGTTTGTTGCAGACAGTAAGGAGTTGAGGATGTTGGGTCTGGTCTACTTTGTTTACCAGTTCACAGTATTGTTACTCTACCATTGTTTGTTACAGACCAGACAGTAAGGAGTTGAGGATGTTGGGTCTGGTCTACTTTGGTTACCTGTTCCTAGTGTAACTCTACCATTGTTTGTTGCAGACAGTAAGGAGTTGAGAGTGTTGGGTCTGGTCTACTTTGTTTACCTGTTCCTAGTGTAACTCTACCATTGTTTGTTGCAGACAGTAAGGAGTTGAGGATGTTGGGTCTGGTCTACTTTGTTTACCTGTTCCTCTACTCTGGACTGGAGTTCACCCTGACCTTCCTCACTCATCTCACGTTCGGTTTCAACTCCATGCAGCAAGGATACATGTTTTTCTGCATTGGACTTGTCATGGCAGTGCTGCAGGGAGGCTATGTACGAAGGATACCTCCTCACAATACCAAGAAAATGGCATCATTTGTTAGTATTTGTTTCACAATTTTTAAGTATTAATAATAGAACAGTCCTACTTTAAAAATGTGTATTATAATGGAGCAAAACATTATAAAAAGATTTGAACCCGGTTTTGATTGAAGTTAGTATATGATAATCCTTAAATACTGTACTGTAATTCTTAACAACATAGTGCAACATGTTCCCATTCCTGTAAAAATTACAGTTCAAAAGTTATTTTAACTCATGCTATTTTCCCATGAAAACACATTGAAAATATCCCCCTGCAGCAAGTCTGCCGACTAAGCGAACTTCCGTTTGCCTGGATTGATTCTGAATTAATCTATTAAATTAACAATTAGGTTTAACGAGTATTTAGGTTTGCTGCTACGGGGAAACTAATAAGAGGGTTTTTTATTAAAATATTAATAGCTAAGTATAAGATAAATAAAAATGCCAAGTTTGATCAAAATACATCCATAAACAAGCCAACTACATCATGTTACAATACTCAACGTAAGAATAACATGGGAATTTGAAATGAACATTTTTTTATATTTTCTCCGTAACCAATAACTTTACAAAAACACTTTGATATACTAAATTGTTTGTTTTTTAAGTTCTTTAAAAAGGTCTGGAAAAAGGTTGGGAAATTTTGTGTTTTAAGGGTAAAAGAATTAGAAAAACACATTTTTACCCTATTAAACCCCGTTCCCATTGTCCAATCATGCTGGTTTGCGAACTCATTCAAGTTTATCCCTTACACCTTCAAACCAAATTTTATCAAAATCGGACAAAAATTACTTAAGTTATCGTCTTCACGGACACATATATACATAATATAAAACATAATAGAACATAATATAAAAAATGTGAACGAATAGTGTTTTTGGCCTCTGGGGTCATTAAAATGAAAAAGTAAATCGGTCCCGGGGGTCTTACCATGAGACCTACGGTAATAGTTACTTTCCTACAGGGAAATTGGCTAAAACGGAGAAATATATATATTTTTTAAACCAATTCTGATTGAAATTCTTCTGTAATGGTCCTTATAATTCTTAACCAAATAGTGCAACCCCCCCCCCCCCCCATTCCTGTAAAAATTACGGTTCAAAAGTTATTTTAACCTATATTATTTTCCCATAAAAACACATTTAAAAAAACGTAGAAACATTATTTTTATTAAAACTAATTCTCATTTAAATTCTTCTGTAATGGTCCTTATAATTCAAAACCAAATAAGGCAACACCCCAATTCCTGTAAAAATTACGGTTAAAAAGTTAATGCAACTTTTGTGATTTTACCTACAGTAGTAGACTCCCTCTTATCCGGACACCTTTTAACCGGACATCAATTGACCCGGACTACACTTGGCAGAAATGACATCTCCCAACTGGACAATTTTTATCAGCACATCGGTTTTTACCGGACTAGATCAGCAGGAAGTATGGGGTCCTGAAATGACTGCTCTCGTGGGAAAGATTTGAGACCAGTGATCATGTGTCTAAATACAATGCTCTCCTTAATTTAAGTCAAATACTGTATACAGTATGCATTCAAACGGTCTGTTTTAACGAGTTTTTGGGGACGTCGGTTTAACCGGAAAAACCGTTACCCGGACTGGCCTCGGTCCCGAGGAGTCTGAATAAGAGGGAGTCTACTGTATTAAATAGCATAGTTACTCTCATCGCTTATCCATGATAAAGGTTGTTGACAAGCTAATGGGAGAAAGCATGTGTCAGATTGCTGATACCGTTTATTTTACTATATCTTCACTCTTTTATAGGGAGGAGGGGTGGATGTGGGGGATGTATTCATTGGCTAATTTTTTTGAAGCTAGTAAAATATTTATAATTAAGGTATGGTAAGTTTATAAGCAAAGTCTCAGTTTAACAAATTTCAGTTAAAGCCCATATTTGTATTGCAGCAAACCGTAAAAAAAATTGTTTTTGGTTCAACTTAGCTTAAATTTAGCTTACCAGGCGATCAATGTTTTATTTATATTTTCATAAAAATTACATGATAAAAAAAAACGGTATCATTAATCTGACACATACTTTCTACCATTAGCTTGTCAACAAACATAATCATGGGGGGGTTGCACTGTGTTGTTAAGAATCGGCTGTGTTGTTAAGTGGCGGCGATTGGGCTTGAGAGGTGGGGGGGGGGGGCGAAATGGCGAAATCTAGATTTATTGTTGACATAATTCTATTTTATAATTTTGATAAATATTCCTTGTGAAAGTGGGGGGGGCAACTGCTCCCCCTGGCCCCCCCTAAACGCCGCCTCTGTTAAGAATTACAGTATTAGGATTATCTAAATATTAATTTAAATTTAAACCGGTTTTTTTAGAAAATAAGATTTTCCCCTATTTTATGGGTTTTTTAAAATCAGAAAATAACATAATTTACAGTAACTTTTGAACCGTAATTTTTACAGAAATGGGACCAAATATTTATAACCAAACTCTCAGTTTAACAAATTCCTGTTAAAGCCCATATTTGTGTTGCAGCAAACATTAAAACAAAAACAAAATAGTTGTTGGTTAAACTTAGCTTAAAATTAGCTTACTAGGCAATCTTTGTTTTATTTTGAACATCAGAAACCTCAAAAAAAAAAACTTGTTTCAAATATACTTTGAGGGTAATGAAATTGTTCGGAATTTATTAATGAATACCAATAAAATATTCTTTTAGTTAATATGTTTATGAACAATAAATATGCTTATGAGGTAATACCGAGATGATGTCCACTTGAACCTTCCCCTTGGCAGGACTAAAGTTGCAGCCTAAACTCACTAATTTTTATGATGAAAATGTATTTCTTACTCCTGAAATTGGTCTCCCAAACCCACCGAGATCATCTCTCAGGCTGGCGCCTAAGTCTACTAGACTTCCAAACCAACAATATTTAGGCGCGAGATTATCCCTGTCGAAGTTAGGCGCGCGTCTAACTGATTCCGAGCTCACAAACCCGTTTTCTAGGCGGCAGCTTAAAATACCGGAAATATCCGGTTCTTAGTCGCGGACTAGCACTAAAACCAAGCTCCCAAATTGCCCCTTAAAGTTGTAGTTGTTTGCATTTATTGCATATATTTTCTCAATTTTGTAGTGTTGTGAAAAATAGCATTCGTACCACAGGCCAAAAGGGTTTTGCAGCTCTTGATCGTTTTTAAGTTCAAAACTTCGTCTCGAACGTTAAAAAATTATCTCGAGTCAGCAAAACCTCATTTTTGGCCCTAGGTACAAAACATACTATTTGTTCTTAATTTCAATTAAATTTTGAGTCAATTTTTTTATTGTTTGCTGTCCTTAAATTTGAAATCAACCAATTAGTCTAATTTTCAATGGAGGCCTAGGTTTGGTAATATCTATTACAGTTGAGTCTCTACCCGACTACCCGACCTTCGGCTATTCAATTTTCCCTATCATTCGCCTCTCTCTCTCTAAACAATTGGTTACCATTAATGCATGCTGTTTCTGTCAAGTTCTGGGATATATATCACATTTAGGCTCCTGCACTTCCTTTTTGTGTTTGTACACAACATACCCTACAGTTTACTAGCATACCTCTTCATTGTAAATGGCATACTGAACATTATTGAGCCTGAAGAGCACTTAATGATATTATTTATTGGTATATTTTAAAAGTTTCAATGTTTCCAAGTTGTGTTTTATTTTCAGGGGTTGCTGTTAATAGTGCCATCCTTTTTATGTGTTGCGTTAGCTTCTACAACGATATTGTTGTATACTGGTCTCTTCCTGTACGCTGTATGTAAGTGGCCATAATAATATTTTAATATTATCTTTAGTAGAATGTTTTCCTCTTTTAAAAACTGCTTGAACATGTCATAGTTAAAACTTACTTTAGGAACGCTTATGACTTTATATTTAGAAGCAAATAGGTGATTGTTTCTGACAGTTTGTATATGCATGTCAACCAACATGAAATTCAGAGAGAGAAAAAATGGATTTATATTTTTTTTACGTTGTGCGAGTTTTGTGATAAAAAAATAGACTTATACATCTTTTGCATAGTTAAATGCAAATAGTAAACATTGTTTAATCTGTATTTTTTTAGCTATACCTAAAGACTAATACTTTAGTGTCGTGCATTATTACTATACTACTCAATAAAATATGGTCAGTGATAATACAAATTAAAAACACTAAATATTTAGAAAATTTTTTACATTTAATAATTGTATTAGGTAATTTATAAACAATTTTATCAGGCCTATTTCCTTTGTAAAGATTCAAATGGATTCAATTTGCTATGTATTACTTTACTTGTTCTTGTTATACTTTATTTTTGAAAACTATCTCTGCAATGTTTCACTGCTATACTAATATAAAAACACTCGTTTGCATTTAAAGTTAAAAAAACAAACAAATTCATATAAGTAATCTACCAAAAGGCAGCTGATAAAGCGAGTGGTTGGGTTGTTGCAGCAACTGCCTTTGTAGTGCCTTGTATGACTACCATGGCCTCTCAGTTTGGATCCGTGGCTCAGAAGGGCACAGTGATGGGCATCTTCCGCTCCCTGGGTGCTCTGGCTCGGGCAATAGGGCCTGTTGTCGCCTCTGTCTGTGAGTCTTACTTGACTACACAATACCAGCAGTACAGCAATGATTTCCTAGCTTTTACACATACAAAAAGTTGTGAATGTATTTAACCAACAGTTATATTAATTTAATAGATAGTAGTAGAGATGTAGTATCAGTGACAGTAAAGTATCCTAATTTTTGTGTTTAGTGTAAGTGTTGTGGTCATTGTGCCAGTGTGGCTTCTTTCCCATTCAGGCAAGCTTGCTACCCAAACAAAAATCCATTAAACTAACAACCATAGTGTCGTCGTTAAATCCTCAACCTCAGAACGAATATATTCAATAATTGAATATATTGAAGAAAGGATATTCCAAGCAAGTTTGAAATAGTCATATGGTATATGGTTGTACAAATACCGGTTCAATACTTGTGATTTCCTAGTAAAAGTGTGATTTCATAACACTACAATTAAATTATAGTGTTATAAAATCACATTTTTACAAGCGAATCACAAGTATTGGATAACCGGTATTTGGACATCCATATGACTATTTCAAACTTTTTTTGGAATATACTGGTGTCTTCAAACAACATTTATACCAAGGATTGTAGAATTTTTGTTAGCCCTTAAATTAAAATGTAACTACAGTAACACTAACACTTAACTACAGTGTTTTCCAAACTATGGGTTAATTTGGGTGATTAGTAGAAAGAATGCAAACATATTTGCTTTAACCGGGCCTGAAAAATTTGGTAATTCTTTACTACTCTTACAGTCAGGTAGGTACCAGAATTGGACTGAGTGGCCATTATAGGTAATCTAGTAAATAATGTATTTTGAAAGTGGTCTGATTTGATTAGTATTGGGTTTAAACAGAAGAAAATTATGTGTACTAATCATATACAAAAATATCAATTAAGATTTGTATCCATAGAGTTTATTGAAACTGCAGATACATATTGTTTGATAGTTGATAAATATGATTTGTAGAACACGGTTACCGATACTTTAATAGTACAGGGACAACAAAATGATCTGACGGTTTTCTTTGCCTTCCTGTCGAGCGAGTGAGAGGCAGAGGGAGATGGGAATAGGGGTGTTACAAAGCCAACTTGCGTACATTTTTAGTAGCCATGGAGCTGTGGACGGCTGTATTTGTAGTGGACGTGTTTTTTGAAGTGGCAATATTCCTGTGTAGCTGTTCAGTAGCCGTTTCAATGTGGGTCAAAGAAGAAAAGTCCCAACTCGAAACACCATTTTGCTGTGGGTGGGTAACTTTAGAGCTACTAGTTCAGCATTGAAACTAAAATCAACAGCATCAAGATACAAACACTGAGACATGGCCTTGCCATATAAATTGTTTTCATCAAGATATAAGGTATACACCGAGAGACATAGCCTTGCCATGTAAATTACATCAACATACAAGGTATACTCTGAGACATTGCCTTGCCAAATAAATTGTTTCACCAAGATATAAGGTATACACCGAGAGACATAGCCTTGCCATATAAATTGCATCAACATACAAGGTATACTCTGAGACATTGCCTTGCCAAATAAATTGTTTCACCAAGATATAAGGTATACACCGAGAGACATAGCCTTGCCATATAAATTGCATCAACATACAAGGTATACTCTGAGACATTGCCTTGCCAAATAAATTGTTTCACCAAGATATAAGGTATACACTGAGACCATATAAATCGTTTGTATTAATATAAAAGGAATACACTGAGACAAGGTCTTGCCATATAAATTGTTTGCATCAAGAGATAAGGTACGGTATACTTTTTGTGAAGTTGGAGTGAGCTGTGAATTTAAACTTCAGTTTTTATAACAGAACCAAGATAAATGACTTACAATACAATATCACTATATAGTTCAGTCAAGGAATGAGGTGTAGAATGCGTGAGCAGGTAACTAAGCGATTCCTTCAGAAACTTGTTCAGGGGGCTTAGGGTGTTAACATACCAAAAGTCCTGACTCCTAGGTGGTGAGCCAGGGGGTGGAGGGGGGAAAAAGGGGGGGAGAAAGGTATGCATTTTGGGTTTTTTGATTATATCTCGAAAACTATCAACTTTTTGTATACTATAGTAAATTATAAAATTGAAGAAGATGAAATTTTCTACAAGAAAAGTATATAATGTGTTTATTTTGGTTCAACAGATTACGAGTTATAACTTATTTAATTGATATCTTATTAAAATACTCCTTCCATAAGAAATACATGTAAATTAGTATGCGAAATGGGGCGAATCCTATCCGCCCAAAGGAAATATAAATGATATTCTGGAAATCTTGACAAAATTTACAGTAATTTGACACTTTAATCATTAAAATTGATCCAAAATTAAGGCGAGGGCGAGGTGATAAAATGTCGAGTTTTGGTGTTTTTTTATTGGAAATATAAAAATACCTTAAATCATCCCATTTTTAAACGCTCACCCTCGCTTTAATTTTTGACAAAATTTCATGATTTAAGTGTCAAATTACTGGAAATTTGGTAAAGATTTCCAGAATATCGGTTATATTTCCTTTGGGTGGATAGGATTCGCCCCATTTCGCATACTAATTTACATGTATTTCTTATGGAAGGAGTATTTTAATAAGATATCAATTAAATAAGTTATAACTCGTAATCTGTTGAACCAAAATAAACACATTATATACTTTTCTTGTAGAAAATTTCATCTTCTTCAATTTTATAATTTACTATAGTATACAAAAAGTTGATAGTTTTCGAGATATAATCAAAAAACCCAAAATGCGTACCTTTCTCCCCCCTTTTTCCCCCCCTCCACCCCCTGGCTCACCACCTAGGAGTCAGGACTTTTGGTATGTTAACACCCTAAGCCCCCTGAACAAGTTTCTGAAGGAATCGCTTAGTTACCTGCTCACGCACTCTACACCTACTTTTGGATCATTCATTGACTGGACTAATAGTGAATAGTTTACAATTCATATTGTAGTTTAAGTATATAAAAATGCAAATTATAACTTCAACCTTAATATTTTTTTAATAAGTACTCGAACGTCAAACTGAATCCGAACCTCTTATTATTATCCGATCCGATCCGAACCGAGCCTTAACTATCCAAACCAAATTCACTTCTACCCCCCCCCCCCCCCCCCACACCTCTACTCACAATGACAATTTTGTCATTTGTAATCTGAAAATGAGATGCGCTTTGCATAACCACTGTGCTTCAACTGTTGCACGTTTGCCATTTTGTATAAATGAAAGTGGAGGTCATATCGTAATACTCTTTTACTGTGCGGCCAGACATGTGCAAAATGGTGTTTTGAGTAGGAACTTTTCCCCTTGGACCCACTTTGAAATGTCTACGGAACTGCTGCTGAACAGCTGCACAGGAATTGCCACTTTAAAAAAACACTTCAATTACAAATGCATGGTGCACAGCTGTCCACAGCTCCATGGCTACTAAAAATGTCCACACGTAGGCTTTGGAACGCCTCTATTCCCACCACCCTCCACCACTCACTCGCTCGACAGGGTGGCAAAGAAATCTGTCAGATCATTTTGCCGCTCCCTGTTTATTACGTTACTAGTCCGGAAAATAGGTGTTTACCGGACAAGTATCATTCATTGTTCTTAGGATTACCATATGAAATATAAAATACGGTAAACACGTTATTGACAATTGACGTACAATATTTTCCTCCATACTACTCTAAACTAACCTAACAATTTAAAAATACTGTACAAATCCGTTATATATTCCCAACAAATAAAGTACTTTACAATCACTACTCATTACTTCTAGAGGTTATGTTTTTGTTTAGCTATTGATTCGTTGACTTATTGCCAATTATAATCAGCTGGTGTATGGTAAAAACTCATTACAGTGAAATCACATTTGACTAAGCGGTGGCAAACAGCTGTTTTCCAGACTAATTTCATGCGTGGAAAGTCTATTAAAATGGTTTAGTGTGGCAAACAAATTGAAGTATTTCAAATTCAAATTTAAAACATTTTTATTTTCCATACATGTACATTGTACATGAGTGCAAAAATAGTCAAATATAAAGTAGTAAACTAGCCTAGGTACATACATTTTAAATAATAAATAAAGGCATTTTTATTTATTTTATCTAATAAGAACAATGGACATTGAGCTTAAGTTCGTTGCCACACTATCCCGTTTCGCCGGTCCAGCCAAACGGGCGCCATTTGTCGGGATGATTCGAACTCATGAGAGCGGTCACATTGTTGCATTTCACGTCGATGGGATCCACCGCATGGTGCTGCTACGCAGCGGGTATGACCGGACGACGGGACGAACGGCGAAACATATGCAGTTAAATGATAGCAGCCACACCATCCTGTTCTGCCGCACGTTTGTCTCTACTGTTGTTGCTATCAAACGTGCACAGCACAAGATGCTCGCGCTCTTCATTCGAAGTATGTTGCGGTAGAGCAGGAAGGTGTGACAGGGTAATGTCAATGCAGCAAAAACACTTCCCGCTCAACCGAATCCTGCTAAAGGAGATAGTGTGGCACCGGCCTAATCTGTATGTTTGCTGTGATGGGAAATAACTTTATTCTGACTTGTGCAGGTTACTGGTCACTGGGGTCCACTCTCACCTACTCGCTCGGTGGCATCGCATTGTTGTGGCCTTGGTACACTCTCAACTCAACCAGACGGTAACATTCCACTGCATTTATTTTATGGTACAAAACAGTATTATTTTTTACAAATATACATCAAATTTATAAAATTTGTTGGCTTCTTTCTCCCTGCTCAATTTCTTTCCAATTATCAAATATATTTATTAGTGAAAATTGAACCACCAAATGAAAATTGTATATTGCTATTTGTTTTTGACGATTCCTATTGCATTTTATGCCTAATGGATAATAAAGCATTTCATTTCATTTCATTTTAGTTTCTATTTGTTGCATCCTACCATCTGCTAATAATTAATTACATTTTGCATTTGAAGGGGTTTTGAAACATTTGTAAACTAAATTCTTTATTTTATTATTGCTTACAAATCCTGTATTTATAGTTTACTAGTGGAACCCCGTCGAAATCGACGGTTAATCTTGAGGTTTTATGTAAATTCAGCTAACTGCGATGGATAGAGTGAAGTCATTAAAATCTTAGTTAAATGAAGGGAGGATAAGCAATAATAAGTATGACGATTGTGTTCCCTAAAAACGTGATTGATGAATTCGTTTAACACAATATTTCCTACCTTTTTATCGGCTTTAGGTTGCCCAAAAGGTTTTTTAGGAGTCTTATAATTGTTTGTTCATGAGTTTGTTTCATGCCAAAGCCACTTTCACTATATGGGAGAATGAGTTCATATAATTAGTCTATCATGTTATGGAAAGAGTCAATATTTATTACTAACCACTAATTCCATCTGCTTTAGGAAAATCATTCAGATTGTATCCGGATTTATAAGTAAACCTTCATCTTTGGTCATGAAAATACAGAATTCTATCAGCATATTAAATCAGTTTTTTTTTATTTGATAAAAATATCTGATCCTCCAGAAAGCAGTAACATTCTTACTTCGATCTCAGCAATTTTAATTTGTTCTCTTGCCACATCGACCCATGTATTTAATCATCCTGTTCTTACTTGATAATAAGTACTTGATAATAGCTTGATAATACTTGATAATAACTACTGTTATTCTTTTCATTGTTTATCGTTGTTAATGCCTAGCACAAAACACAAACATTCACTGTTGTAGCTTTCAATCTTTATCTTTGTAAATTGGTGTATTGCCGTTGGTAAATAAATAAATAAATCTATATATATAATACGTGAAGCCGTTTTTTGTTAACGCAACTCCTCCCTTATTTGTGGACCAATTTCAACTTTTAAGGTGTCAAAAGATTCGTCTCAATATTTAATTTTGCAATAAGGTTTTAAAATTATAAAATTCCTACTCTTAAGGGCGTGAGACCCTCTCAAAGGTCGGATTTTTGCCATAAGAAATACACAGAACAAATTTAAAAACAAAAACAGCTGTTTATAAAAAGAAACTCATTAGCTTTTTGAGAGCAAATATCAATGTTTGTAATATTCAGTCAAATTTACTTTTATGATTCAGGAGAGGCAAATAATGTACGCATTTCAAAAAGAGAAAATGAAAATGTATACCCAAATCTTATAGCTTGAAGAGTTATCCAACCTATTTCGACATATGAATCCATACTTTCAAAACTTTGGGACAGGTATTAAAAGAAGAATTCCACTGAACAACGTAAAAAACTGAGAGCCGAAATAATGTATGCCTAGGTAAACCTTTTACGATGCAAATAGAGATATTTAAAATTACTTTCTAACAAGGGTTTAAACAACTCTAAGATGTAACTAGAATTATTCAAATTTAAGCATAACGTTTTCCTCGGAGTTATGTGTCATACTATGCGGCTCGTTGAGCCGCACGGGTTCTCTAGTAAATAAATAATTCATTAACTTATGGGATAGTTTTGCCTTGGCCATATCGATCACATAAAGCTGTGCATGTATTTCGTGGATGGAATGAACCATAATTGTAGGAAATTCGATCACAAATCTTGAACATTTGCGGAACACAATCCATAACCTAGTCCAGCCTTGGTAACAAATCATGCAAATGCGATGAGATGTGATGACACTGTTGTGTTTCCGAATGTTTTGTATGTAGTGAGGTTTAGATGCGTTGTTCGACCTAGCTATGTGTACATCAAAGTAAAAACCGTGTACACATTTTTTTTAAATACCTGAATTGACATTAGTTTACCTACTTCACCAAAACCATAGATGAAACATACTCCGTAGTTAGTCTATTCCAAAACTTAAACACAGCTCTCATCCTCAACGTACTCATCTATGACACAATTTTCAACCCAATTATCAAAAACTTTTATACCAATAAATGAATATCTGGTGTTCTTTCTTGAATTTAATAATTTATTTTTGTAAAAAAATTCAACCGACTTCAAACGCTCTAAAAAGAATGAAATAATTTCAATAAAGTAAACTTTTGTATTAGGCAAGCTCACGTATTTTAAGTCGGCGCGACTCTATGATGATGTTTGATACAAAATTGAAAGAGGGTGTCCATATTGCAGGTGACTATAACTAAAGGTGTTAATCTGCATGTCTTTTTCATAGTTATGCGTTAAGTGTTATTTTATTACCGTAATCAGAGATCGGCATTATAGTGGTATTAACGAGTATCTTTAAAAAGATTATAACGCATTTAAATGTTTCTAACTTGGAAAAGTAACGTTTTAATACTAAACTAGCTTCTTTTCCCTATAATAATATCAAACTAAATTATTTTCCTATTCATATAGAACATTTGTGTGTGTTATTTTCATAATGCATTTATTCTGAAGTAAACATAAAATACAAGAAAATATTTCCTTTAATATATAAACAAAACAGTTCAGTATGTTTTTTTATATATTTATGTTATCCAGCTACAATTTATTGATTTTCAAAATACACACACAACATTTAATTTCAATCATATTTGCAGTTTGAGCCGCGCCGACTTGAAATACGTGAGCTTGCCTAATACAAAAGTTTACTTTATTGAAATTATTTCATTCTTTTTAGAGCGTTTGAAGTCGGTTGAATTTTTTTACAAAAATAAATTATTTCATGATTTTTAGTGACTGTATAATTTTTTATATATTAATTACTTCAGGATTTTTGATAAGCAAAACTGTTTGACACAATCAAAAGTTCCACAGAACAATAATTATTTTAAGAGTCACCTGTTCAGGTTACATAATCAATGTTCTTATTCTTAAAATCAATGTAATATTCTTATTCTTATTCTTAATGGGTATGAAAATAAACATTTTTAGATATTCCTTAAGAAAGAAAGAGTTGTCCATTACATTAGGCCTAATGAAAAACTAATTGTCTTTTCTAGATACATTGAAATGTCAGACATCATCGTTTCCTGCAATCGGTGTACTTCTACATTATAAAAAGAAATACAGTAACGTCTCAAGCCTTTTGGAACAATATGAAAGTTATTCCTCAGCTACCAGCACTAAAAAATCTCTCAAAAGTGGAAAATTGGTCGTTAACACGTATAGTACCTTTGGAAAATATTATATGAAAGATTGGTTCAGCTAAAAGTGGTGTAAGTCATGTAGGGGGTTTTGTTTGCTCAAGATATAGCCTAGTCGAAATTGCAAATCATCTTCCTCTAGGACTTTCCGAAGCAGGCATAATAGTATTGATATGATATAGTAACTGGGTAGAGAATATCAATAAACATTCCACATCTGCAAATGCATGTTTGATAATTAAAATATTTAACACTTTTAAGACAATTGACGATTATGCACTGTCACACTTCTTAGGTCGTGTATGGAATAAATGCATTTAATTTATATTTAGACCTGTTTTACGATTGCTTTGGTTTTCACAATACACCTTTATTTGTCAATATCATACAGCTATTCATTGAAACATATATGTTTTTGTAAGTCAGAATATTCAATACTAAAAACAGAATTACTGTATACACAAATCAGGTCAAACTTTAAAATACATTTTTTATAGTAACCAAAACAAAATGCATTTTTCTCAATGTAATTCATTTAGGCTCCATGTCAAGAAATAGTTTATTGATCAATATGAAGCAACTGTTTCATGAAGAATTGTCTGTAGCTTCATTTAAATGGTTTCAACTAACAGCTGTAGGAATGTTATTATTATTTATTGCCTTCTCTGCACAAATGTAAACAATCTGCACAAATGTAAACAATCTGCACAAATGTAAACAAACTTAAACATAATATATAAGGTACCAAATAGAAACTCTCCTGGTTATTTTGGTGGTGGAACCACACTGATCGGTAAAAGAATCACAGAGAAATTGGTGAACATACATAGAAAAAAAAAAAACATCGCCACATACAAATTGAGAACCTCCTCCTTTTGTTGGTAGTGGGGAAGTCGGTTAAAAATAGATGGTGATTGAAAGTAGGAAAAAAGGCAAGTGCCAACCATATATATAAGCTAACCCGATAATGAATACCTAATTATATGTTCCTTTGAAATTGATATATCACACTTATTTTATAATTTAAAAATTTCTTTAATTTTGACAGTTTCAGTAGACCTTTGAATACAATTTTAATATTAACAGCTGGTTCATTAAAGTAGTGTAAAATTAATAAATTATCCATATGGTCGTAATGTAAACAAAATTGCAGAGTGAACTTTAAAGGCCTCTGGGGCAGAGCCCCAAGGGAATTTACCTCGTTTCTCTTTTGATGGCTCATCTACAGACCAAGACCTTTCTTTAGAGACCCCTACCAAGTTTCTACGCCCAGCCGTTCTCTGAAATTAGCTGTGACAAAAACCCGTGTTTCCCCATAAGAATAACATGGGATGGAAATTTAAAGGCCACTGGGGCAGAGCCCCAAGGGAATTTACCACATTTCTCTTTTGATGGCTCATCTACAGACCAAGCCCTTTCTTTAGACACCTCTACCAAGTTTCTACGCCCAGTCGTTCTCTCAAACTAGCTGTCACAAAGAAAAACAGTTTCAAATTAATATATAGATTGGTTCATATTTTGTGTTTTCTTTAGTTAAAACATATGACATGTTTCACTTATTAGGCCTACTTATTTTTACTTTTACCGGTACCTATTGCTTTATTTTTAGTTAAGATTTGTAAAAACTATCAGGAAATGTGTAGTTATAGATAAAACATACTCCCTTGGTAGATTTCTCATCCTTATGGAACAGCTGA